GACTTGATATTACACTTAATAACGATGCTGTTTATTGATAAAATGTGAAAAAATGGCCTCGTATTTCCTTGGAAAGTTTGTGTAACTCAGGTTTGTATATTATTGTTTTTAATTTAAGGCATTATTTCAAATTCTCATCAATAAGACGACTTCTCAATTTTCTCTTAATAAGGTTCATGCTTGAAAATGATTGTTCCCCTGAATAGGTAGACCCGAATAAGTAATAAACAGAAAACGTTAGTTTCTTCAGCTGGTTATATGAGATAATTCCATGTTTTAAAAATCAATGAACAGCAAATGCTAATTCAGAAGTCGAACAACAAAAATCAGCGTTATATTTTCAAAATTTTCACAGGACTAGTTTCCATGGTTTTACCGAGCCACCATCCTCAGCTGCAAAATCGCAAATGAACAAGATAGGACATAATGATTACATAAGACAAAAAACCATGGACAAGAATAAGTAAATGGCGCTATCTGTTGGTGAAACCAGAACTAAAACATAATTTCTTTAAAGGCCGAAGGCAAAGATGAATTTGAATTAGGATCGTTAATTAGAACAGAAAGATTTTTTGAATGTGAAATGCCTCTAGAAAATCCAGTTCTCCAATGGAAGATGTTTTTTGAATAATTTTGTCAGCAGAAAAATTGAAAGTGTGATTTTCGGACAACAATGTTGAGCGACAGAAAACTTCTGTGTTTCCTTTTTTCTAACATATGCCTCCTCTTCCTTGACGCGAAATTTTAAGGCTCTCTTTGGCCAATGTAAATTAAACCACACTGGCAAGGAATCCTATAAATACCCCAGGAATTCATATCCAGAATGGGGTCCTTGAGTAAGGAACTCGGAATTTTATTGATGGGAGAATAAACGACCCGAAAGTTAAATTTCTGCAAAATATGTGCAACTTTATAGCTAATTGATGGAAAGAAGGTAATGACAACATAATTTTTATAATCCCCTAAAACAAGGGAGATTATAAAAATTCTGTGTGTTTGAGATGAGAATTTAAGTGTGTTGAGATGAGAATTTTTTAACTGCTTGATTAATAATGTTGGGTGAAAAGCCCCTGTCAAAAGCTATTGCTTTTAAATAATTTAGTTCTTCATCAAGGGATAGTTTGGAGGAGCAAATTTGAAGAGCACGGAAAACATAGGAATAAAATGAAGCTAACTTTTGTTTAGTCGGATGACATGATTTAAAGTGTGGTGGAAGGCAAACCGATGATGGTTTACGGTAAATCGTAGTACTGAAGTTGGATGTGTTACGTGTGACCAGAACGTCGAGAAACGGAAGAGAATTGCAAGTCTCATGTTCAAAAGTGAACTGAATAGCAGGATCAATAGAATTCATTGTTGAAAGAACTTTATTTAAATCATCTGTATTACCTTCAAACAGGGTAAAAGTATCGTCTACGTAGCGGAACCATACCGGGAAGTTTAAAGTTTCAAATAATTTTTGATTCATAATAATGCATGTAGATATCAGCCAGGGTCGGACTGAGGGGGCTTCCCATGGCTAATCCCTCAGTTTGCTTGTAATGCTAGTTTTCTTCAGCTGATTATATGTCAGGAATACTATTCTATGTGTTAAAAATAAACATATCTTTCTTCTCCAAAGCAGACCACTTATGCTGTGAACTAAGTTCACATTTGCTATTTTTCTCCAATGTTGCAACGCTAAGACGTTTATGCTGTGAAAGTTAAGACGCTGCTTTTAAATTATTTAAGCTGTGAACTTGTAGAGACATTAGGATTTATTTGGAAGTAGGAAAGATGAAAAATTAACAACGTCTTCGGTCGGGAATCGAACCAAGGACCTCTGGAATATCGGTCCATCGTGCAGAACCACTACACCACGAAGGCACGCTAGGAAGGCGAGAGAAATACCTTATATACTCCCCCCTTTTAAAGGGTGACTGGGTTTTTAGGGGACCCAATTGCCACATCCTGGGTGAGAAGAATCATCATCCAACATCCTTTTAGTTCGCGCCCCACTGTAGAGATATTAGGATTTGTTTGGAAACAGGAGAGATATTATGTATGTTATGTTGAAGTGAGGGGGCCACCTAATATTTACCCTAAATATTAGGAGCAGGAGAGATGAAAAATTAACAACGCCTTCGCCGGGAATCGAACCACGGACCTCTGGAATACAGGCCCAGCGTGTAGAACTACTAAACCACGAAGGCACGCTAGGAAGGCGGGAAATAAACCTTATAAACTAAGCTCACATTTTTTTCCCCTAGTGTTTCAGCGCTAAGACGTTCAAATTTTGAGCTCATAATTCTTTATTTTGTAAATCCAGAAATTTTATTTCAAAGTTGCCAATGTCAATATTAATAGGGAGGAAATGTAATTCTGTTACAGTAATATTAAGAGTGTTTTTTTTTTTTTTTTTTTTTTTTTTTTTTTTTAATAAAGGCTAACGTCGCTTTCTTGTTTCTGAATTCCTGAAACCTGCTGAGAAAAATATTTCTCATTTTTAAAACTGTTGTTTTGAAATAGAAAATCTTAATATCAGTATTATTTTTTGGCGATGTTCCAACAAACTTTAAAAATGAAGTTCCTTTTTCAAAATCCTGAGTAAAAAGATATAATTTGTTTTCCAATGAAATAAATTTTTCTAACATTGAAAAAATTGTGTTTCCTTTCCTCTGTAGTTTTTGATTAAGCTGATATAGATCAGACGTAATATCTACCATAAAATTAAATTTTTGGATCCACTGATCATTCGTTAATTCTGGATAATAAACACCCTTTTCAAGGAGAAATGCTCTAATTTCTGTTAAAAAGGACGCGAAAATTTTCAAAACTTTTCCTCTTGATAAACAACGTACTTTACTGTGCAGGAGAAAATCTGCGTACTCACTCTGTTTTTGAACGAAAAATTCTTTAAACTGTCGATGATTACGAGTTTTAACTATAACGGAGTTGATAATCTTAATCTCCAATACACAATTTTACAAATTTCCTCCGTTAAGGCGCATAAAGCGCTTCTTGATGAATGATACAATAGTAAGTATCTCGTGATTGATTTTTTCTTTCAAAATAGCAACAAACCCGTTTGTCACGATGGTCATACTTTTTGTCCAAATAAATCGTACAAAAAGTGAAACTTGTGCTATATCATTTATGTCACATGATTCGTCAACTGCTATTGATAAAGCTAGAGCTTTTAGACAGTTTTAGTTTTAGTTTTAACTTTTAGACATTTCTAATTTGAAGTTTTTTCATATTATATGCAATCCAAATATTGTTTATTTATTTTATGTTGCCTAAATTCAGTTGCTAGGAAAATTTTTATTTCAGACACTGGAAAAACTTCAAATTTGAAAGGCCTAGAAGCTAAAAATCCTGATATTTTGAAATTAAATTTCATTTTTACGTTATTTGGTTTCTCATTTAAGTTAAAATTTCCATTGAAGGATATATAATTCAAAGCATATCATTAGTTAAAATTTGGCATATGAGAATTAATATGACGGAACAATTTGATGTATACTCAGTACAATCAAAACGCCGAAATCGGTACAAAATATTTCCCAGGAATAAAATTGGCGGATATTTGCATGCTTGTGTAAAATTTGACGCCCTTAGTGTTGTGTCTTCAAGATTTTCTTGCTACGTGTTCGAGCCCGCATGCACTCGAGCACGTAGCAAGAAGATTTTGTGGAAGAACCACACTCAAGAACTCAAAGAGCCACGGTTTGCCGACCGCTGTACTAGGTAAATAAATTCAAGAAAATGAATGAAAGAGTAACGGTCCATATCGGATGATTTTAAAGACGAGTAGTACTATACTAATTTTTGAAAACATATTAGCAGAAACAGATCAATGGAAACTAATAATTTTACCCATATGATCATTTAATGTTTCACTTGAAATGCTAGTTGTACGACTCTGGAATTTATTTCTTCAAAAAATATTAATATCTGAATTGAGGTTGCATAAAGCACAAGTGAAACAGACTGAAAGTATAGAAAGTTTTAAAGTCAACCAGACTTTTAAAGAACGTCCTCAGTGTATAAGTACTGTAAGGACCCTTATTTTCGCGGGCTGTAATTTTCGCAAAAATGAATATATCGGTGATTTCGCGAGTTGAAAATTTCGCGAATTTTATATGAACAGAACCGAAAGTTGAAAAATTCCAAAAGTACCTAAGTAAAGTTGAGAAATTTGAAAAATTGCAAAAGTACATCTTTTGCATAAAGCATTTTAAGAAACTTCTATTGTCCGAAAAGTTCGTCCCCCCACCCGTTCCCGTCTAAATGGCGAGTTCAAGCGTTTGCTCAAGAATGAGTTTATTGAGTGGTATTCTAATGAGCTTCAATTTCTAGAGGAAAAAGAATCTGTGGACTTGCGAATATCACGACTAAAACCGATTCACGCTTATTGGCTTGTGCGCGTATTTAACGGTATTGAAGCCAAACATGAGATAATTTTGAATGGCTTCAAAGAAGCTGGTATAAATAGTATTCTAAGTGAATGAGCTGCCTTCTATTAATTTTATTGTTTTATATTCAAGAAATATAGTTCTATATTATTCAAAAAATAGTTATAAAAAAGAAAGTTGTCAAAAAAAAAAATAAAAGAGCCTGTAACTGTGCAATAAATCATTAAATTTTGGGTAAGTGAAAAATTTCTGATTTTTTATTATTATTTCAGGCGGAAAAAAAAAGTATTTCGAGATTACGACGGGCTCGCGAAAATCGCGAAAATTAAAGCCTCGCGAAAATAAGGGCCTTTACAGTATTTAACTCAGGTTGCAAAAGATATGCTCAACTGGATTCTTTTGTGTTCACTTTCGCTTGTGAACAATCAGATTCGTTAAGAATTACATGCTACTTTATTTGTAGTATGATAAAAAATGCTATAAGATAGTAATGGTATTTATTCTTTATTCAAAAGGCCAGCTCTTTTAGCATTATCTTTCAATGAGTCACAGAATAATACCATATCATCAATTTGCTGCATAAAATGAATAAAAAGAGCATACTGAAGTTAAGAAAAAAATGTTATTTATTGTCAAATAATGTTTAAAAATATTTATTGGAAGCTTACAATGTAGAATTGAGGCTAGTTTAGCATTTCTTCTCGCCTGATATAAGAAACGTGCATACACATGCAAAGAAACAATAATCAATAAAGAAACAAAATTATATTACATGTAAAAATTGTATGACTTTCAGTAAAGAGTTATCTAGTATCACATATAAATAATACATTTATATTTTCATATTGTAATTCAAATGATAAGCTTAAATACATCGTACATCGAAGATAACATTTCACTCATTTCTCTTGCTCACTTCTCATTTTCCTCTTCTGGCTGTAACACTGTGATACACAATTCATGACTATATCTAATGCAGTACTACATTTTATTCCCATAGAAAAGGCCATATGCTATCTCTCACGTCTAGAAGGCAAGGGTGGTGGTTGAAGACATGATACTTTCTCATTAGAAGCTTCAACTTCTTTCTTAGTACTGGAAGAAAATATATATATATATATATATATAATATTAAAAGCACAAAGGAAATGACGGAACACTGTAGATGTACTGTAGATGCGTGCCTAGATCCATATTGAAGAAGATTTTGATTGCGTAGTATGCTAGTAATGCTAACTTGGTAATATCTAAAGAACTTGGCAGTCGAGGCAGTTTTAATTCCATTTTTATTTCCAATTGATATTTGTGGCCACAATCACTTGGCACTCTAGTCGTGCCTTTCCACAGAAGATTTACATTTTTGATATTGTTGGGATAGCAAGCAAGCCAGCGAAATTACATATTAGCAGAGTAGAGGGCAAAAGCTGAAGTGCGTAGTTATGAAAGATGGAAGCAAGCGCGAAGAGAAAACGTTTTGGTTTGCAATTTGGTGATTGGTTAAGAGGCATCTGCATTAGCGGTTACGTAAGATCGGCATGAATTAATTTGAATGACGCAATGCAGATTTAAACTATTAGAGCGATTTTTAGGGCAGATAAGATGAGGTTTCCAAATGAAATAAAAAATAAAAGCGGTTATAGCGAATTGAATTTAGAAGTTCTGATTTCATATATTTTTTATCTTACATATTACACATTACCCCTTCAAAAAGAAAAAGGCGTAGCGACAGAGAAGCCTTTTTAAAGAAAAAGAAGAGTTAAAGCACAAGCAAATTAAAAAAAAATATAAATAAATAATAAAATTTTGATCCTGTAAAGTATAATTTATAAATATCAATTTTTTTAAATCAATTTTAAGTTTTAGAGTCCTATTAGAGAGAATTTTTGAGCATTTCAGTCCAAAAGTCTTTTGTTTGAGAGTTCACATAATCATAATTCTTCAGGGAAGGTTCTTGTTATCACAGAAATATCAACAAAATCAATTTTTACATAATCATTACTTAATAATTAAATGTAATGCACATAAATATTGATGATACTTAATTTCCATACTGATAAATTATAATTTTAACATCCATAAATATAATAGGATTAACAGTTTCAGAAATTTATGGTTTCACCGCTATCATCTTTCATTTACAATTCTGATTTTACCAAACTGGAAGCCTCGCAATACTTCTAAACAAACATATCCATCAATAGGGCTGTCCTCTTGAGCTAACCAGTGTGTTCTCTGCACTGGTGGCCCAGGGTGCCTAGACAGTTACTTGAAAAGGCCTCCGTTCCTTGCATTAAGGTAACTGGCCTTTTAGAACTGCACTAATACATTCCATAATAAAAAAATATATAATAATAATATAAAAATTTACAGCATTCATAAAATGAGAGCCTCCAACATTATCTTGCATGAAGAGGGTAAAAGGAACAACTGTACAGAGGTAATAACAGGCCTCTGTTGAAGGAACCAATACTCCCTCGACATACACTATACTTAACATACAATCACCCATAAATTAAACATGCATTTACCATAATTTCATATTACGTATCTGTAATAATTTCACTTATTTTTTACACCTACTTCATTTTTAGAATAACTATAAAATTAGTATTCAAAATTCTCAACAAAAATTCAAAAACATAAAAAACTTAGGATAAACATAAAAACTTATCCTGGTAGTTCGGTCCGAGGTTCGAATCCCGCGAACGGGCTGGCTGCATGGGCGTTTTCGTGGTTTTCCTCATGTGTAACGTGTATACGAGCCAGTTTCCCTTAGAAATTCCTCCACGAAAGGCATCCCTCCCCTCAGGCAGATAGCCCTAGTGTGCTTTGCCATAATTAAATACACACACACACACACATAAAAACTTATCTTAATATCCTTCCCTATGAATAATTTAAATAGCTTAAAATTAGTTACTTAATTTGCTCACACATAATTATGAAAAATTAGAAAAATTAATGAACAAGAATTTCAGATTTTCTCAAAACAAATTGCAGAAAATTTTAACCAAAGTTGAAATGAAAACTATAGAATCCGCAGCACATTAAATTATTTAGTTCCTGAGCTAGATTCACACGAATGTAATAATTTTTGAGCTGTTGAAAAAGCGGAAGTGCAAATAATTTTCTGTCGCACATACTTGCAAACACTAACTCAGATCGACCTTGAACCCGCTGTAATGCTTAATTCCTAAACGGTAATTAATTCACTGATGATTTCCTTTTCACTAGGCATTCGAACTTCTCAATTTATCGAGAGAGATTACTTTCAATCTGTAAACACTACGCGTGATTATTATTTTTTTTTTTTTGAAGCAACTTGCAAAACACCAGCAGAAGAATGATGATCGTTATTTTTTAAACACTGAAAAAACAAATTTGATGACACACTTGAGATTCACTTCTTTAACATTATCTTGGATTTATCCCAAAACGATGATTTGAAGAGCTGAACTTAAATTTTCCATTGAGGTTTCAGGCTGCAGGAAACTATCCTACCGGCTTAATTGTAATATTAAAAGCACAAAGGAAATGACGGAACACTGTAGATGCACTGTAGATGCGTGCCTAGATCCATATTGAAGAAGATTTTGATTGCGTAGTATGCTAGTAATGCTAACTTGGTAATATCTAAAGAACTTGGCAGTCGAGGCAGTTTTAATTCCATTTTTATTTCCAATTGATATTTGTGGCCACAATCACTTGGCACTCTAGTCGTGCCTTTCCACAGAAGATTTACATTTTTGATATTGTTGGGATAGCAAGCAAGCCAGCGAAATTACATGTTAGCAGAGTAGAGGGCAAAAGCTGAAGTGCGTAGTTATGAAGGATGGAAGCACGCGAAGAGGAAAGTTTTTGTTTGTTATTTGGTGATTGGTCAAGAGGCATCTGCATTAGCGGTTACGTAAGATCGCATGATTAATTTCAATGACGCAATGCAGATAAGTTATTACGATTTTAGAATAGAGAGGAAGAATTAATGTTTATAGTTATATTATAATTCTGATTCATATATTTTTATCTTACATATATATATATATGTGTGTGTGTGTAATACTTAAATTATGTATTTATCTGCTTAACGTATTACATATGCATTGGCCCTGGAGGCTGGAATATATATAAACAGGTTGAATATGATATTTAGATAGAGCCTTGTCATACATAAAGGAAAAAAAAAAACACGAGTATATCAAATATAGTATATATGCAATGAAAAATATTCATGTTGTGGATGCCGGAGAACAGGATCATAGAGCTGGTACATCAACTGAACATTTTGTTTCATTGCTTATAAATAAAATATACAGCTTAACTGGTGCAATCTGCTAGCCCATTCTTAAACGATTACATTCGCCTTTCTTCACATTTTTATAACAATACATTTAATGTACGAATAATCGACGAAAGATTAGAAAAGATAAGATAAGATTAGAAAAGATTAGATATTAGAAAAGGTAAAGGGAGAAAACATGCGTATAACTGAGAAATGTTATTAGAAAATGACGAATGTTATTAGAAAAGGTAAAGGGAGAAAACATGCGTAAACGAGGACTAGGTTAAGAATGATACAGATAAGTTTCACTTTAAACATATTGGCTATAGATTTTCATTTTTAATATTATTATAGACCGAAGTGTTATTTAAATACACGAGTCTGTTCATTATGTAAGAATCATATAACGAGAATTACTTGTTGAAATGACGCTTGGAACATGAAATAATTTTGTTACAGAAGCGAATAAAATGTATGAAACTCAAGAAATGCCTTTCCAAAACATGGTATATTCAGTTTTATTTTGGTTAGTACCTAAAAATGTGGCACATTTATTTTTATTTTTTAGTGGCTGTAGCATGTATATGGAAAAGCAAAAATCCTTAAACAATCAGACATCGGTAAATTAACATATTACGGGGAGTAGGAACTAAAAGGACGGACGCCATGTGTCTGAGTTGCTTTCAGGAGAATTGGAGGCTGATAATGCGAAAAACTGCGAACAAAATATGAAATAGATAATAAAACAAATTCCAAATTCTAAATTTGGGCTTCCAGATGCTCATATTTGAGTGGAGGACTACGTTATTCAAAATTTGATGTCTCTAGGTACTGTTGTTTTTTCACAATGCAAGAAACATACATACATTCATGCAGATTCTTCATCATTTAATTTCTTTAAATATAACGCAGGGCTCTAATATTTGGTGGCAACAATTTGGAAAGTGATTCATACTTTTATAGTGAACGAACGCAAAGTGCCAAAACGAAATTAATAACCCTTCTGGGCTAATAAATACTAATTAATATAAATTAAGGTTATACTGTTTGTTAAGATGTTAAATGCAAAAAAGCAAAACTAGAATTGTATTTTGAGTGCATCATGGGCTAAGCAATTTATCTCGAATTACCAAGGGGCAGGGAAAATTAAAAAAAAAATGTTTTGAATAATTTGATATAGACATTTAACATGAAATAATTCATACTCATATATTTACTTAGTTTTTCATAGATTACTTAGTTTTCGTACTTAGTTTTTCAATGAGTACGAATTGTTTTCTACAATTATTAAGTGCGTCAAAGTTGCTTCTGGTTCATCTTGAATTCTGAGAAATCTGCGAATCATATAGTTTGTAGAATCATATAGTAGGTCGGGGATCATCTAAACTCTTCTCTTCATCAGGAGATTTTACACATAAAATTTCTTCCTCTTTCATAATTTTTGCCTTATCAAGATCATTATAAACTGTTACATATTGTATTTTTGTATCTTTAATATTTAATTACGGACAATTACGTCTACCTTTATGTCGCAGGAAAATGCCGTACGTAGAAATCAGTTTCTTATAGTGGTTTCTGTAGAATACAACAGAGTACGAATTCTACAGTCTTTTAAACAGTTACGAAATCTGTTAGAGAAAGAACCTCTCTCTTTGGAAGAAAGAACTCTAAATTAGTGGAGTTCTCTTAGTAGTGCAATGCAGAGTGCCAAACAAAATCTTAAAAAAAAAAAAAAAAAAAAAAAAATTGGCCTGTTGGTATGGTACAGAATCTTTGCAGCATGGGGGCACTTAAAATACTATCGAGCTCAAAATTCTCTCTAGGAATGGTAAAAGGAAGAGATGAGTGAAAGACCTTCGGTTCCGTCACTGAGTGGATTATGTTTCAAAATTGAGACAAGGTTGGAAAAACTCCTACTGTCATCTATATGGTGCCAAGTTCGATTGTATTCAGAAATGACGGATAGATTTTAATGAAATTTCGTAAGAATATATTTTGATATAATACAAAAAAATAATATCCTTAAAAAGTCATGGTACACGCACACGATCGTGGGTAAGGGTCATCGGTGAAGGAAAACAAGAGAGGTTATAGAAGAACAGAAAGAACAAAAAAGAAGATCAACTTAGGCATATCCCCCTCTAACAGTCAGTTCTCACAATATGACTTCATATTGAAAATGAGGCATTTTTTGAGTTCCTACGGCATTCGACCCACTCCTTTGACCAGCGCCACCAACATGGTTTTAAAATCTTGGAGGGTTCTGGGAGGGAAAAGAAAGATTGCAGTTTTTCTTCCAGGAGTCTCTCATACATTTTCTACAGATTTTAGGCTTGCTGGCTAATCGGCAATTTCTTCACTTTCCTTAAAATCGTCCGCCTGATTAACCCTATGAGGAAGAGCGTTGTCGTCTATGAAAATGCATCAAGACCTAGTTACAGTCATAAAACCAATATATGGTTCTAATATTTCGCGTGTTCGGAAGAAGACCTGCCGTTTGCCTCAAGGTCAATTCTGCGCACAAAAGAGCCTGTTTATTATTGTACAAAAACATCGACTTTGGGCCAAGCATCAGTTTGGTACTGTTCTTTTTACTGATAAGTCCCGATTCAGCCTAACCACTAATTAATACTCGACTTACTTTGATCTAGAGAGATCCAGGGACTCGCTACGTGTCTTCCAACATCCGAGAAAGCAACTCATATGGCAATGGATCATCCGCAATGCTGAAGCCGTTTTAAAGAAACTCTACCTTATTTTAAGCACATATCTAGAGTCAATACTAGGAGAATCAAGACTAGAGCTACTTTTTTTCGAACACTATGAATGAATATTAGTATAAATAGCGCTATGTATAAATGCAAGTTATTTTTGTGTTTCCTGTTCAATTACTACTAAGCAGATAAAAAAGATATAACCCTATAAAACAATTTTATACAGCTTTTTGAACATGCTCCCATCTGAAGACATGAACATTTCTAGATCATCCATATTTTTTCATTAATAAAGTCATTTATTCTGATATTTATAAATTTAATCTCTAGAAAATATAATGACTGCTTAACTGTTTTAATTCAATAATTTAAAATTTCTGTGGTTTCTAGGTCAAGGAATTTAAAAGAACTAAAAAGGACGCTGAGAGGACTCGATTGACAATAAATAATTAATAATAACATTTTCTTATTTTAGTAAAACAAATTACTTTTAAAATGAAATCTCTAAAACGATAGTTGAAATAAATGAGTTACTGAGCGAAACCTGCCAAATGAATTTTAAAATTAATTTTAAATTCTAATTAAAAATTATTCTTGACTGCAGACTACCAAAAGAAACAATAAACATTTACCTAGCAACAAGCCTGAGGATAAGGGTAACTTGCTTGCTAATATCTACTTCCATTGGAGGTGCAGGTACATAAAGCCGTTTTTTCTTCGGGCCTTGCAAAAGAGTTGCTCCTTCTACGACTTCACTGATATCAAAAGAGCGTTCCGCTGTATTTAGCTCACCTAGAAAACTTCTGCAATGTATATTCAGGAACTAAATATGAATATGCACTCATATCAGTAGTTTAAAAGAAAAAATAAAAATGGAATTGTAATTGCTAACACAGAATAATTTTATGATACTAAGCAGCAAATAATAAGGTTACCTACCTTAAATTTACACAATTATTTATATATTTGAATAATCAGTTGCAAATCTCCATGCAGACGTGTAGTTCAGTTGTTAGAACACATTTTTCATTTTTAGTTGTAGGTTTCTGTACACAAATTACGCTCTGCCATAGAAAAGAACAGCCTTCTTAAGTCTAAGAGATAGGTCTTAAATTAGTCTGTCTTCAAGTTAATACTAAGAATGGTTCACAGCGAATCGGTAGTTAATTAATTAATTTAATTTTAACCCAGATGATGTCATTTTAAGTTAGTGATCTTGATTTATAATTTCAATTACGCATTAATCTCACAACTACGAACTGCATATAATGTGTATACCTAAAATGAAACTGTGTCTGCGATTCTTCGGAAGCCATATTGCGTTAAAAAAATCAAACGAATCTACTAAACCATTGTATGTCACAAGGATTTGGCCTCAGGGTATGCGTTTTTATGGAACCACCTCAAATACAGTCGAGAAGAAAGTTCTCTCGCCGCCCAGTCAGTATAGTGGTCAGGGAAGCTGAGTGCGATGCCGAAGGGCCTGGGTTCGAATCCCGGAGAAGGCATGGTTGTAACTGTCCGTCCCTTCATAGGAAAGGCGATGGTGGGCCACCTATTAGGTGCCTCCATAATAAAGAGACCACCACATCCGATCTTGTATAGATTAATGGACTGGGTTACATTTGTAATTGTTCACAATCTGCCATTGGTGGGGGGGGGAGAGTTCTCTGAGCAGGTCAGTAGTCGAAGAAAAGAGTGAGGAAACTTTCAGATCCGTCATCTGCGAAGTTTCCCTTAAATTTAGGATACATTTGGGGGAAAAACATACTGCCACCTATAAAAACCGCAATGCCAGACAAACGACAGGCGCTAATGAATTTCATGGACCTGATTGATCGATAGAAGTTCAAATATTTTCAATGATATGATAGTACGACACAGTTTTTAAAAAGTTATATTAAGGCAAGAGTAAAATAGGTAATCCACAAAATAGAACTATAGTAAGAAACATTCAAGTACCTTGGGAATCATGAAGGTAAAAATAAAGTAGACGTCAATCCCCGCATTGCACCTGACGCTGTGCTGTCGAGCTTTGGTAGCTAAAGGAGATGTGTTTTCTTTACATCTAGAACATGTTACATTGACCGCGTTTTGCTAGTATTTTCATGCACGATAATTCCACGCAAATCAAAAAAAGGAAATACTTCCGAATAAAAGAAACATTCGTTGTTGGATGGGCTATAGCAATTTGTATAGTTTAGTGGCTTACGCAAAAATCACAACTTGGTTATTTTTCAATAACTTGCAACAGCGATTTTGATTACGAATTTGCTTTATAAAATTCTCCAATATAGTATTTGCAAAAATACTGCAAATAACTGAGTATCTATGCGTCAATAGCATACAAAACTTATCTTATTCCATATTCAGTGATAGCGATTAATAGAGTAAGAAAAAATATATCAAAATAAAGTTTTCGCTCTTTTTTAAAATTTTATTTAGCAACATTTTGGATGATTAAACGCAATATAAAATTATGAGTAAAAAGTCTTTGCTATTCAGTACATATACTGTTAAATGAAGCGTAACCAATTTTTATTTCTTAATTTAATCCCTAGTAAAAGGAGAAAAGTTTGAGTAGTTGTCTGCTACTTTAAATTAAATATTTTTGTGAATTTAGATCAATTAGTTGTTTTAAATCTTTCAAAAAGTGAAGTAATATTGCTATGCAGAGAAAGGCAATCAAGATTGCGATCAGTGATCTCTGATGAGTGAGGTTAATACTTAAATGTGAAATGGTTAGATGTTATTTATTATATTATCAGAAAATTGTTAAACTGGGTAAAATTGATAAGAGAGGTATTGAATGATCTACTAACATATATTTACTAGAAAATTTAATTTGATAATGAATGTACCCAAAACGTATTTTAAGTCAAAAATTTGAAACTTGATGGCTAAATATAATTGTAAAATTATGTATGCTAAAGTATTTGTAATTAGACACATAGATCAGGTTAAGTTTTTGAAATAGGGTAAGGTATGTAAAGGCTAGCTGCCTAACGGGAGAGATGTCTTCGTAGAGGAATTTCGAGAGAAAATTAAATTTGAGTGCATATTAAAATAATGCATGTAATTTTCATGAATTTATACGTATTTCTTATGTAAAAAATTCTGACACATGCTTAATTCTTGTAATTTACTTTACTAATTAAAGAGGGAAAATACAGTAAAAATACGGTGAATGCGCAGAAATTAAAGATTTGCACATGACAAAAATTTGAAAATATTAACTGTATATGGGTATTTATGCACATTCTTGAAAAAAGCATGCATTTGCCTTTAACAAAATCCCCAAATATTTATTAGATTTTTTTTTATAAATGTATTTGGAAATTAAGGATTCATTCGTTCATAAACTCCTGTGAATGTTACTGTGAAGAAATTTAGTTATTGAAGCTAGCTAAATTTACAGTGATTATAAATATTATCTAAACATATAATGACCCTAATATTTATTTGTTAATTCTAGAAATGCTATTTAGAATATTTTCTGTCAGAAAAATCACTGATGGCATTTCGGAAGTCTGTTTCATTACTCGGCCTCCCAAGAAATCAAATAAACTTCTAGAGTGCTGCTGACGATTGCTCTAGTTTCAATTCTGTAGACAATGAGATTCATTAGGGGTCTTTGGTGATGCTTAATCGACTTTTGCTCAGAAAAATTTCTCTCACAATTACAAAAATTTACAGAAATGGCGAGGAAACTTTGCTGTACTATTGAAACTTTGGAAGCTGGGTTCTGAAAGCCGTATTTTTAAAATAAACTGCAAAACTTCAATGCGACCGTCTTTCTATTTCTATGTTTCGTCTTCCCAAGTAGTAACAGAAATAAAACTCTGAAGTAGTTTCTCTTAACAAAGACTTACCAAATGTTAATGATTTTTTCCTTTTGTCATCTTTGTCATCTTGAAGTAAACCCAAAAAGTCATCATCAGACTTTGGTGGTCCTGTAAATAATCGAATATAACACTGCTGAAAACAATTAGAGGATTTTGTGTGTTCAGTATGAATTAACGAAAAATAAAATAGAAGAGGTTTAAAAAAAGAAAATTATAATGTTTAGAAATCTGGGAACATGGAAATTTTGTATGACGTTTCAAACAACACATGTTAGATAAGGAGTGAAAAGTGACATGCAGCATTTGCAGGAGATTAAAACAATTGACACGCTTTGAATGTTTTGTAACAGGAATACGATGCCGTAGCAAGAGAACTCAGCTGAACCGATAGCCTGGAGGGCCACTTGTTGTTTAGAGGCGGGTCAAATGCAGTTCGTTGTAGCGGAAGCGTTAGGAGTATCTTAAAGGGTCATTTCGATACTACGGAATCGGATTTGGAAACTGGAAATGTTCGCCAAAAATTGGAACAAGGTCGTACGTCTGCAACAACACAAAATGAGAATCGGCTTTTAAAACCAACGGCCAGAAGAAACCGCAATGTGAACGCCACTTTCTTGCAACAGCACCTTCAGAGGGCTACCGATATCAGAGTTTTGACTGAAACTGCTCGAAACTGACTCCACCATGTGGGTTTGGCATGCTCGCAGACTTATGGCTTGTGTTTCGTTGACACAAGACCACCTTTCTGCCCGCAGAAGGTGGGCATATGAGCATCTGATGGAGAGTGGAATAATGTGCTCTTCACGAACGAGTGCAGCTTTAGTATACAACTTGACAATAGGCGGATTCTCATCTGGAGAGAACCTGGTACACCGAATACTCCTGCATTTGTGCATGAAAGCATCCAATTTGTCGGAGGCGGAATGATGGTCTGGGCCGGTATTTCTATCAAACGCGTGGGGGTACCGACCTGCACATTATTAGGAATGGAGCACTAACGGCTTAGCGATATGCGGATGAGATCCTCAAACCTACTGTATTCTTTACGCTATAGCAACCGAGGATGAAGTCATTCTCTTGAATGGTAGCAACAGGCAACACCGTGCTCAGCTGGTGGACACTTCCTTATTGATAACCTCATTCATTCCATGTCTCGTAAATTTGCGACATTGCTTTCGGTCAGAGGAAATCATATCCCTTACCGAAACTCATCTATCTGAGAAATCACATTTTTGGTTTGTTTGCATAATATGCACAAATTGTGCATTTTTTGTTTACCGACCAATATCCTCAATAAAATTTAATTATTCCTTGTCCGGTGGTTCTTTTTTTCTCATATCTTGCAAGACCTATACATCATAATCAGTCACCAAAACATTTCCTTATCCGCACTTTATTTCCAAAATCATAATATTCTCTAACTGTTTTTAGCAATGCATATTTTTTTGTAAGTTATTTTTCCATCTCTACTTTGATTTAATTTTGGACTATCTGCTTCATTATGACGAAACTAAACACTATATATAAAAATAAAAACTGATCCATAATTTTTCAGAATGTAAATATTTCTTCCTACATGAAATTAGTTTAAACACAAATTTCTACATAATGGAACTAAAGATGTGCTACGCTTTTATCAATTGAAATCAATGTTAAAACAGTTGAACAGTTTTACCAATAATAAATATCTGAAAGGCTTTAATTTTACATAATTAATTTTCAAAACAGAATGCATGGAAATGTATTTCCTCAGCAGATAGTTGAGAGTTGACAGGAGACGGAGACATCATCATTTTACCAAGAGATTATACCTAATCTCTTGGTGAAATGGTATAGTCTCGCATCTCCGCATATACAGCATCTCGCATCTCCGCACTAGGAGATACACTACCCGACATTGAAAATGCAACACTAAGAAGGAATGGCCCGAAAAGTATGCAAATACTTGTACTAGGGGGAAAATTCCTGCCATTGCCGCATTCAGAAGACGAACTGTGGCAAATGGTTGACAAGGAATGAAGAGCCATTTCTTAGGACACAATCCGTAGTCTTATTGACTCTGTACCTAAAACGTGTTGCTTCGCGTATCGCCATCCAAGAGCCACCAGCTCAGCGACATTCCTTGCAGGGCTCATTCCACTCCACATACGGGCAGAACAAGAGGCAGTCTACACCACCCTCATATACCTCCGCAAAGATGCAACATTTGGCAACATAACAACAGCCCTCTGCAATTTCAAAGCCCAGGTAACACTATTCACACTCATACCGCACGTAAAGGCACAGGAATAAGCATTAACATCTCACGGTTACAGCCACTGTCAGTGACGCGAGTTTCAAGGGATACGCAAATATACATCGACGGCTTTAAGCAGGAAGACGGAGTAGGCAGCGAATTTGCACACTATGACAACGGAAGAATCATCCATGCATGGAAAGGACGCCTTGACTTAAACGACAGTGTGTTCCAGGCGGAGGTGCAGGTAATTATAACGGCGGTAGATTACATTTTCAATAATAATATAGAACGGGCGAAAATTTTCACAGACAGTATGCCAACACTTCTAACATTAGATAATCACAACCCCACCTTGCCCTTGACCATCAAATTACAACAACTTTTGCAGCGCAACCCGCAGAAACATCTGTCCTTAACATGGATCAAGGCACATGCAGAAAATGACGGGAATGAAGCAGCTGATAGCCTGGCCAAGCAAGCAGCCACTGATCCAGAAGCTGAAAAAATCACAATCCCAGCCCCTCCTTCCTACCTCAAAGGGTTATTACGGGGTCAAGGCCTAAAACTTTGGCAGGAAGACTGGACGCACTGCACAACTGGAAGGCGTACATACAGCTACCTCCCGAAAGTCGGCACTGAACTCAACATTGCAATAGCTCCTCTTACGGCTTATATTACGGGATACGGCCCATTCCCGACCTACTTCAATAGACATGGCATAACGACCACGGACATATGCGCCTGCGGAGTGGAAGGCTCCCCAGACCACCATGTTTTTGAATGCCATCTGACAGCAGGAAATCACCTCCCTCTTCCCACCAACAATAGAGAAGCTTATCACCGCTTCCTTATAAAGCACAAACCGGCAGTAAATACAATCTGCAAAGTTGTTAACAAGCTCAAGAGAATGGACCAAGATTTGTGCTCTCCTCATTAACCAAAACTCTCAAGGCATGATACACTAACTAAGTCAGCATGCAGTTCCCCATTCTCAGACACATAAGTCTACTAAAACTTACATAAGTCCCTATTACAGACATTTATCAAATAATGTACAGTCAAATGTTTCCAACATGTATTTAACATTTCCTCTTCTGTATGTGCATAATACTTAATTAAAAAAAAAAAAAATTTGTTAACCTATGAGCCTGTATTTTAATCCTATTATTTTGTAACTGTATTTTTGTATTTGTATATTTAATTTGTATTTTTATTTGAATTTTATTATGAATATGCAAAATTACCATATCAAATTGCAACAACAAATGTCAAAACGGTCAAACGAATGCAATCTGCCCTTGTATGGTCATGTAAATGCTCTTGTTAACATCCTAAAAAGCTCCCGAGGCGGCCTCTTGAGGCCTCAGGGAGTTGTTCTTGGTTAGTGGAGGGCGCGGGACACATGCCTGTTTACCTCTGTTAGGCATCAGGCGTCCCCGTCCTCCGTTACCAACCAATCAACTTACTGAGCCGACGCAGTTCTCGCTCTGTATTCTGAATATCATTTCGAAATAAAGACTACTTATTGTTTGTTGCTGACTTTCTCTTTTTGTCGAGTTTTATCACTTTCTGACCATTCGTTCATGGTGTTGCATGTTCAATGTTGGATAGTGTACATCAAATAATATTGTAAGAGTTAGTTGCCGTTGTGGCTTAGGGCATAATTACTTACTTTACGTAAGTACTATATTATTTCAGATTCTCAAATTACTTTACAGCAGAACATACACTTATGATAGTATACATTACAAGTACACTTTACAAACTTTCCAGAAATTTAAAAGCATATATTGCAGGAAATGCAAATACAATAGTAGTACAGAGAGTCTGGCTTCAGAAATCACATGTTCTGTTCAGTCTAATCTATCTTTTCTACTATATTACCATTTCTACTACCAAGTCTGTTGCTGTTGTTGTTACTTATGCTCACTTGTCTGACAGCAACATTAGCCCAAGCACACGAAATTCTTCATGGCAAAGAGAGCTCAAGATGCGCCTGTCGTTGGCAACAGCCTTGAGCACCTTACAGGTGAGAGTACGAATTTGCTCAGTTCTGCCAACAGTTTTGATGAAGAGCACCCAGGGATGACGGTTCCGGGTGTATCCCACCCCTCTTCCCTTCCAGCAAACCACTCGAGAGGATTTTCGTCTCGTCACATAGAGTGCCGCTATGCCACACCGACATTATACATTTACAAACATCTACCGCTTCTACGAGATTTGAACCCTGGTCCTTCGGCACGGCAGACAGGGACACTACGAAGTCTAAAGGCGGTAATTGTGCGAGTTGAAGTACTGCCGTCGATATTGTGCGATATGATCTGCATGTGGTGAATAGATGCGGATGCTATGGAGAATTAAAGTTCTGCATCATTTGATGGAATAAATGTTTACGCCACATTGAGGCTACATAAAGCACAATACGCTGCGTTACTGTCATATATTATAAGCGAAGGAATCTGTATGGTATTTCCCCATTTTATAGCGGCTGTACGGTGCAATGATTTGGCAAATTGTAGCGCTTTTTGCTTAACGTAACGAATATGAGAAAGCCACGTAAGCGGGCATTCTAGCATTATTCCGATATATTTTAATTGTGACATATTTAATGATTTTATCCCGGAGTTTCACGCCCGGCTTATATCTTAGAATAGGAATATTATATCTGAAAAGGAAAGGAAAAGAAAAAGATTAAATAATCTGACTTGTGCCCTAATGCTTGGGGTAAAAAATACGAAGGCAACTACTGTATAGAGAGGAGCTTTGATTTATCTTTTTGATTTGATACGTGAGGGGAAAAATAACTACCATCAGATAGGCTATGTTCTTACGTATTGAAATGAGTGAGAAGCATATCGCGCTTGAAATGGTTTATTCAAATATAAATTTTCGGTATGACTGTGTCAATTCCAGCTAGAGAAGATCTTTTGCTTCTGGATCAGTCTGTTATATATGGCAGTTTATTGGGCTACCCTATAGGCAGTTAATGTAACGATCGGTGAACGATAACACATCAGGTATTTTCGATCGACATCTGCGGACGACCTCCATTCATGGACACTATAGACTTATGCTCAGAATGGAAAATTTTTAAGTGGAGTTCCAACAGTTTGTGGTATCCGATGACTAAATAAAACTGTGTGTAACGATGATGAATTATTGCACTATTACTGTTTCGCAAATGTTTTAGTTGCAACCCAAGCCCCTTAAAGAAGGTATGTACACTACGAGTATCATTCTTTTCTAGTTAGGGGCCTTATTCTACATAAAGAACGGTATTTTAATGACTAACTGTATCAAATAACTCTAATTCTAAATATGTCAAGGTTTATTAATTTGTGTGTGCCAGAGTTAATAATAAACTCGTATATTATTTTAATGTGTTTAATTAGATCTTTCTACGGTGTTCAATATTATAGCAGATTTAAGTATTTGTTATAATTGTATGCAAGGTACGAGGGTTTAAGAAAATCATGGCTAAAATAGAAGTAAATTATTGCAAAATAAAACAAAATTCACATAATATTAAATAATGTTTTGTAATTCTTTGGTCTCTGTCGAGGAGCAGCCGAATGAATAATTAATAAAACAAGTTTCTGAATTATATCTGGACTAATTGTAAAACGAATTAAAGAATTCCTTAAATTAAAAATAATTAAATGAGAACATATTAATACAAAATTTAAAGAATTAAAAATTTTTCAAGAAATTTAAAACTTTTAAAAATTACGTAATGCTAAAACCTACTATTATCTGCAGTCAGTCATCAAGATATAACCTGCTCTAGCATCCCATTGTAAAAAATGCATTATATCAGATCGCTATATCATTATATGAGGGGTATAACGATATAGTGATTTGATATCATTATATCAGGGAAGTCGTAAAAATCCGTTATATCAAATCACCATTTAGGGCAGCCTCAAGTGGAATACTGCTGCTGGGTTTTGTATGATAAATGTGTAATATAGAAAAAACTGGGATATATTATTTGCTGTGTATATTTTTTAATTGTCAGTTTTTAATGTACTTACTTAAGGGTTCCGAAAATGCTCGTTCTTTAGAGGTTCTGACCTTCTGTGGCGTAAAAACCGCTTTCAGAACTCCATTTTCAATATTTCCTTCTACTACTCCCAAGCCTGGAGGCGCATCTTTGGATCGAAAAAGTTTGAAAGCAAATTCAGCATAGGTGGGCCCATCAATGGCACGAGAGTCACCAGCAGACAAACGTAGGGCTGCAACTGGCTTTCCGTCCACAAAAATATCAACATCGCAAGCTACTTGTTTATTATTAGTTACCAAAATTTCGTAACCGGAACGATGTGGCATGGCTACGTAGAAAAATGGGCCCGTGCTGCTCTTGTAAAAATTTCCTGGCTCAACACCGAGGCAGAAACCATTTTCTTCTATAAATTTCTTTGGCCACTCCTCCTGTTAAACAAAACAGATACTTTATTAATGGAAAATCAGCTGCATTGCATTTTAAATTCAATAACTATCAACATGGTCTATAAAGGAGCTGATGAAATTGAAATTTGAAGATCATTTGTGAGGTGTTCACTCATTTAAACTGGCGGGGAAAATAAACACTTCAGCGCATGTTTTCAGATACTAAAAGCCAAATTTGTTTTCATCCTAAAATTACGTCCTTAAAACTATAATTATCGTCTGGACTCAGTCTAATGAAGTGAAATCTCAGTTCAAGAGTTTAAGTCGTTCCTGAAACCCGTTCATCATCAGCAATGTCCGCAAACTGAAGCACCATTCGTCTCTGCTTGACACTCATAGGGCTTCTCACTCAAATTTATGCAATGTCATTTGTTCTTGCCTACGTTTAAAAATGTTTCTAAAGTGAGACAAGGCATTGTTATTGGAAAGTGCTTATGTTACAGCTTGCTGTTGCTGTTGCTTAGTCCAAAATTTTATCTAAAAGTACAGTACCATAGATAGCAAAAACGTCGTTAGCGTCAAAGTGCAAAGTCTCTGCTTGAAACCCAATTTAGCTTAAATTTCTTATAATAAGCCGAATTCAAGATCCTGTACAGTACTTAATGTTAGGCGCTGTTAACAAGAGTTGATATATGCTTAAATTACTTTAATACATCTACTTTACAAGTACTGCATGAATAAATCTCTCTGAACTGTAGATTATATTAGGTTCATTTCCGGATAACAGAACTAAGAATAGCTTAATCAATTTCTCTCATTTTCCTTTGTTTACTGAAAATAAAAATCAGTTTCTAAAAATCCTTTAGGAAGACAATTCTGGGAAAAAAAGTCATCTAAATAATTGTCTAATCATCACAGATTTCTTCTTTTCTCCCTAAGGTACAAACAATTTCTCTGTCCAAGTAACAGGAAGCTCTGAAAACTTTGGAAACAATAAACTAACTAGATAGAGAAAACATGTCCTATGATTCTTCTCTTAATTGGAAAAATTCAACAAAACACGCAAGGTCTGTTTGTTTAAGGAAGCAGTACTTAAGTGAGAATTTTCTAAGGAAAATTGGCTTGAATTCATGTTACATACGGAGGCTACGAAATGAGTTGAATTCACCTTTTTGCCGGGATTCAGACTCGGGTCGGACTAGCAATATCATTTTATCTATTAAATGCATCTGAAATACTCTAATCCCTAAATTAAACGTGCTGCTTAATTTTAAATTAGCATCAAGTCTTTCAGGGCCATATAACAAGCATTTTCAGTTTAAGATATGTTTCTAATCTACTTACCCAAGTAGTTTCTTTTGTTTCTTCCTTAATGCTATCGATTATTTCTACCCTCTCCAGTACATGAGATAAGTTATCTTGGAAACCTTTGGGTTTTTTGTATTCACTAGTGGCCACTTTAGGAAAAACAAAGGGCAGTTTTGCAGCTTTTTGTTTTTGAGTTTGTTCTAATTGACCTGCTGGTGACTCAGAACTGCTTCCAATACCAGATGAAGAATCACTGTATCTGCATAAAAAGTAAGAAAAGTTAAGTTTGCACAAGGAGGCAAAGAAATAGCATTATTTTTATAATATACATATAATTTACTATTAGAAGAAGGGAAGGAAATTTAATTAAGGTATGAATTATTAGAAGAAACTTTAGTAAGTATTTTAAGTAGCTTTCCAATTCGGTATTCAAAATTATCTTTATTTCTATTGCAGTAATAGAAAATTCGTTCAACCGTAAAAGTTCCAAATATTAAATTCAAATCCAAAATACTGAAAAAGTAGCTATAGTCATTGATTCCATATTATTGACTTGTCAAGAGGAACAAACCAATCTACTATCAATCAACAAAAGCGAAACTGAGAGTGTTTCGTCTTTTTTTCAAATAAAGATCAAATAAGTTATTTTGTCAGATAATACGCTAAGCACAATACTCAATTATTAGAAAGATATTAGTCTACTTAAGTAATGTCGTATGTAACATTTTAATTTTTTCATGGGCCAAAATGAATTTTAAATTTTACTTACTGTTGATACGCTTGCTAAATTTTGTAGTAGCCATTTTACTGTTCAAAAAGGAAAGTTAGTTTGCAATACCGGTCTAACGACCTTTAGAGTTGCTATATTCGAAGATGGGAGAATACAAATTACTTTTTGTCGCTATCACAAAATTCTGAATTGGAGAGAAATGTAATGAAAGAAGTGTTCTGATTTATTGTTGACCAAGAAAACCAAAATTGTATGGAAGGGGGTGCAAATGGAGAGAATTCCATTCTCTTTTTGACAAAATTTAGAAAATTAAAATGATAAAAATGCTCAGAGTAAAATTTCATAATTTTATAATTATTTCTGGCTGAAAATCAAGGAAAACGAAAATGGGAAGATTGCAGTCAAAAGTGTGTATATAAATATATATGTGTGTGTGTGGGTGGGTGTAAAATATAAAATATGAAACAAAATTATTAAACTTAATTGGAATTAATTGGCAATAGATCTTTAAGTTCGCAATTTTTAATTAAACACATCTTCTCTTCAACGATACCATATGAAACATTTTGCGTCACTCTGTAACATATTACATCATTTTTTCCCTGCCATTTCTCTGCACTGCGAAAAACTTCTGTTCAGTCGCTGCTCAGGATTAAAGCAGACTTTCCGAGCTTATAAATACGACTGCAGCTAATACGTATCGCTCTTTCATCACTTGCTCTGCCAAACCGCTAAGCTTCTCTCTGTATTATCTAGAACATAAGCTGCGTATATAAAAGTTACGGAGCATATTTAACACCCTTACTGTTGTACCAGTTTAAGAAAAAATGTATTCTTCAATATTATTTCCGTTCAAATTAAAAATTATATTTTAACCAGCAAGCTAGTAATGATTTTCGCTCCAGTCAGATCTACGCAACAGTTTTTCTCAGCTGTGATTAAAAAGTGGATCTAAATTCTATTAATACACCAAGTTCTCTCTCTGGTAAATTCTATCAATGCACCACTCTTGCGAGCGTCTAAAATATCATATATATATATGTAGATTTATCAACCAAAATATTGCTATTAATTCTACATGTTTCGCTTCTCTCCTAATTAATTACTCCCTACTCATTAATTCGCATTTTGAGCGATATTAATAATATTTATTAATTTAATATTTTTTTTTTTTTTTGCTTTTGATTTTGATATGCTATATATGCGTGGGAGTCTATGTGTGCATATAAACATATAATTTATTATAAAAATTTTAATTAAATTTGGTGTAGATTGAATTTTTTTACTAACAATGGAATACAAATGCATTATATTATTTGTACAAATGTACAAACTATTTGCATTAATAACATAATTTGTGGAAATGCAGAATAATTTAATTTAAAAAATTCAGTTTTTCATTTTTTTTTCGACTTAATGAAGCGGTTGTTTGAAAAACCGAATTTTGTTTTTTGCTTTGCCAAGCATAATTTTTAAAATTGCATCCATCCATCCATACATAGATGAAATCTGTTAATATTCTCATAAAACACTGATTATTATAGATAGATGCCTTATTGTGAAACCCAAAGTAAAATCTTACGTGAATGTGACCTTAAAAAATGTTATTATCGTGTGTCCTGCATAGGGAACACATACCACAATTTCCAAACAGAGATATGAACAGGCATATATACAAAATTATTATCATTATTCGAAAAAAAATGAACTTCTTTTAAATGTTGATCTTTAAATGCGGATCTAAAAGCAATGAGCAAATGTTTGCCTGCGTCAGGAAGTTTGAACCAAAGTCACGCCAACATAGCGCAATAAATAAAAGCTAAATTAAATATCAGCCATCTTAATCTCATTTCAGAGATAGATATTCACTGTACCATTCTTGCAGATAGGCCGCAAAACGCATAATGGTTTTTGATCTCAACGGAGGAAAAAGCATGTACAAGTATAAACGAGGTAAATTAACCGACAATTCTGCCAAGTTAGTTTAAAATGTTCTGTTTATCAGAAAATTGATCGTTTCTTATGACTCTCATGATCTCAGGATCATTTATATTATTATTTGATAATTTAATGTTTATGACGTGATTCAGGGGAAAATTTTACAACTGCATCTTCATCTGCATTTGCAATCACTCCAATTTAGCATTTTAAAAATAGGAATAAATTTTCGAATCAGTTTTTGTTACCTGTTACATTACCCTTTTCGCGTTTAGATTTTTTCTTCTCAGATACAGAAGGGAAAAATCTTTACCTATTATTATAATTGAGTGAAATTTCTCTATGTCGTTTTGATATAATAACGAATAGCTGTTAAAATTTAACTATAATTACTGTTCAATTTCATATGAAATTCCAAATTCAAGTTGGTTGTTGGTGGTCTCAAACTGGCGATCCCCGAAACAGTTTTGCGTGACCGCGTTATTTGATGTCCCAGCTTACATTATTTTTATAACCATTAAAAACGAACCTGAATAATGCAGAAGGAAATGTACAAACTGAGCTAATTAATTTACAGTATCATATAGATCGTATTCAAATATTTGAAGACACAAATTTGAATAATTTTTATTCATATTTTTAAAAAATAAATATGATCAGTAACGTTTTTTTACTAGGAATAATCGCTTTGTTTTGAATAAATTTATGTATAAATCAACTCGTTTTGAAGATAGTTTTTAGCAATTTTTCTACAATCTTTATCGGGATGAAAACGCCATTAAGTGTCAAGTTGTAGTAAGATATAAAGAAAATTTAGTTATTTTCATACAAATATACGTATTTTAACTTATGTCCCAAAGAAAAATCTAATAAGTAAGAGAAAGAGACTAGATTGTCATTATTTATCCTCAAATTTTATCTCAGAAAAGGTTTCTTTGAAAATTTGGAAAGTTTTCGTAACTTGTTTATCCATAGTTTAAATCAAAGTAACTTAGTTAACTATTATTTAAACATATTAGAGTTATCTGAAACAAAAGTGAGTCTTAAATACTAATATTTAGCTGTAAGTATGCTCGAATTACAAACTGTAATCACAAAAATGTCTTGTAGTTACCAACTTTATTTTTCAGGTAGAATACACATGTAAATTTGAAATTTTACTTTGCTTTTTTATTATTTGAGTAGGTTTTGGTAAATATTTAGTTCAAACTGTTTTTAGTTTGCATTTTGTTAATTAAATAATCCACTTTGCTTAAAAAATGTAGTCCATCAGCTATTTTCGAATCATGCATTCAACCCGCATGAAATTTGAGTTTCAGACCACTGGTATAAGCAATATCACTGGTGTACTTTCATATTTGGCCAAAACAGCATGTATCTTTAATCTGTAAAATCTGATTTCTGTTTAAAATTTGTTTCATTTTCAGTACATTTAAATATTTTGAGCAGTCTTACTTGGATATCTAAAGTGATCCCTTTGCTCTTTTTTCTTCCCATTTCTACTATAATATTATATTTGATTTCAGAAATGATGACATAACGAAAGGTTTATAATAATTGAAGGAAATAAATTTGTTAATCAAAGAAAGCGCTAAGCTTTGATATTCGCTGCATTGGCACTAAGGGGTATAATCAAAAACCTCTATTATAACCCTGGTTTTCACATACAGTTCTTTTTACATACTTGGAACTGACACATATCAAATAAGGGAAAATGTTTTAAACGTATCTAATAAAAAATACTTACAAATGCAACTTTTTAGACAAATTATGAACTTTTTTTTTAAAGCCGAAAAGGATAAAGATTCAGCAGTGCCTTCGCCCGGACTCAAGTTGGAGATATCCCGATTGTCTGAGTGATGTCAGGGCCGGACCTTTTGGGGGGAAATGTAAGAAGGGAGGAAATGTTCCTATTAAAATTTACTGCTTTTTTCATATTTGTATGTGCTGTTATAAATTATCCACTGTACGTAAACAATGTTGACTAACTGCTGGGCGTGACGTTGGAAATGGAATGCATGGTGCGAAAATCTAGTAAAAGCATTATAGCTAACCACAGTACACACTTCACCCCCACTTCACGTGCATGAGGCATAAGATTTTAATGTGCCAAACATAAGTTTTTAACGTACGTGTCAACGTGAAAATTTACATCCGCTAAAAATATAGTGACAGAATGTGGAAAAACTTTGTCATTAAAGAAAAATATTTTTATTTGCAACAAAGAAAACAGTGAAAAACTGAGCGAAAATGGTTAATATACTACCCAAGAAGTAAAGTAATTTACTGCTATGTTTGCAAGATATTTTCGATGAACAAATAATTTTTATGGAAGGATACTCGGACTGAAAAAATGCAAATAACTCGAAAGTTCTACTGATCGTAGGCATTCTGTCAACATTTTTATAATGTGAAATTTAGTTGAGGGACAAACAAACGTTACATTAAAAATGTATTTAGAAGAAAAAAAATGTAAAAGAAAAGTACTGCTACGTGTAGTAGCAACAATAAAATTTTTGGCTAAACAATTCCTTGCATTTCGTGGCAATTTTGCTTCGCATAGTGGAAATTATGTAGGAGCTCCGAAATATCTTACAGAATTTGATGAGATTTTAAGTATAAATAAATAGTTTAGATAGCGTATAAAATAGTTTAGATCAACTGGAAGGGGCAACCTGAGTCACCTTTCGTCATCCATTTGTGATGAATTCTTACAAATGGTGAAAAAAAATATCAGAAGTGATAGCAAATATTTTTCAACTGTAACTAACTGTTACAGCATATGTAGACCAATTAACGTTTATATTGTGTTATTTGTCAGAAGATAGAATCCAAGTATAGAGATTTTTTTGATTTTCCCCTATTTTTTCCGCGAACAAGAAAATCTGCAGAAAATGAAGTTTTAAAGAATCTTGAAATATTAAGTCTTATATTCAACTATAGAGGACAAACCTGCGACATTACGGGAAATATGTCTGGAAAATACAGTGGGCTTCAAAAAGCATTAAAAATGTAGTCAAACAGCCGATTACGTTACTTGTGCTTCAGATTTGTCGAATTTGATGGCAAATAGTGATAGTGATGTTTACAAACAACAGTATATTTTAATTTACTGGAGAATGTTTATACCTTTCTTTCAGCATACTCACAGGCAGAAAGGTTTAGAAAATTGCTTTGCGGCAAATAATAAACATTTTACTGTTAAAAAAATATATACCGTTAGATGGTCTTGTACAGCTGATTCAATTAAGGCTATTCGGATTGAGCTCAACCAAATAAAAATGGTCTGATCTCAGAAATATTCTCTAAAAATGGAATCATGAAAAATAACAAAACAAAATTAGTAATTTAGAATTCATTTTTATTAACGGTTATTTGGGGTAAAATTCTTTGCAGAATATATGCAAGCAGTAAGTCCATACAAAATGCTACTGTGTCAATCCCGTTTATGGCAAATACTTTTCATAATTTTATTTAATTATGTTCATAAATTGAGAAATTTATTTCTAAAAATAAATTTGAAGGAAGAAGAGGCATTAACCGCTCAGATAAACTTATTCCTAGTAAAAAAGGCCCTAAAAAAGGAGATAAGTTTTTGATGAAGTTTATTATGATGACTAAGATATGGTTCATATAATCGCTAAGAAAATTTTAAACGCTATTGTTTTTATGCGATTTGTGAAAAAAAATCTTAACTCTATTGGTATATTGATACACAATTATACGCATCTTCAGAAGTAGATATTGCAGTTTTTTGAATACGATAAAATTATACATTTCTATATAATTTTATTTAATTGGAATAAAAACTAAAACTTTTGGTTTTGCTTTACATAGAAAATTAATTTTTCAATAAAAATTAACATATGTATTAGCTTTACAATTATCTCAGGAACATTTTTTATGCATTTATTTATTTATGTTTTCATTTTCTAATTTATGAGTATATTTTGTGTGATCTCTTTCTTGTATGGAGGGGTCCGGTAGGAAAAAATGTCTAGGGCTCTAAAATTGGTTGATCCGGCCTTGCCTGACGTTCTTCCATTTACACCACGAAGGCACATGGTAAAGAAAGAGAAACATCCCTTATATTCTCCTCTATTAAAGGGCTACTTGGAAGGTGGAAACTCAGCCACCAAATATAGAGACAACAATCTATAGTCCAAAATTTAGTTCAAAGGCCACTTAGAATTTTTTTTGGGGGGGGACGGAAAGCCAAGAAACATAAGGGATCAGCTATGCTTTCATCAGGATCCTAACTCCTAACCTCCTGACTGCCAGCCGGATATACTTCCAATTACACCATGAAGGCACGTCGTGAGAAAAGAGAAAAACCTCTTAATATCGTCAATACACTGTGTTTTATGTTTTCATACCTTTAATATACGGATTTCTGAGGTTAAATTAGATTAAATTTAGTGGCTGCATTTCGTACCTTTATGCATTGATCCCTTGATTAATGCGGTTTTTGATGATATATTTCTGTTTCAATAATATAATAATAATGATAATAGTTTAGGTGTTATTTAAAAATAGCAATTATTCAAAATTTAATTGGGCTTCAGCAATTTTTTTTTTTTTTTTTTTTTTTTTTTTGGATTAGCTTGGCATTAGTAAACATAATTGGTTGAGATGTTTGGTGTTTCCATTGTTGTGTTCATCTTGTTTATTAGACGTATACGTTCTCGAATGGAAATGTTATGATAAAGTGTACATTTGCGAACATTAAATTTCAATTTCTGTATTGATTTGAAAACTTTAATAAATATATTTGGTTCTCGTTCTCCCCTCCCTGTTATACGCATTTAAAACTGATTGCTTAAATGCATAAAACGTTTAACAAATGTATGTTTGATAAGATAATTTAATTTTAAACAGGAAAGCTCTGCGATCGGACGTTGCATCATTTTCTGAGAAATGAAAGCGGATTTAAGATGAAACCGTAATTTACATTTATCCTGTTTAAAAAAGCATCTCAGCAAATTGCATCTATGTCTGAATGATATGAATAGGCGTCGGAACTAAATTGTACAAGGAACTGGGCTTGTACAAAGAAAGTTAATCTATTTCAGAACGGAAGCAAACAATCTCTAACAAGAACAACCTAACTATTCTAAGAACTACCTAGCTTGATTACTGGGTAATTAAATGGCCGGATCTACTTTTTCTGTAGCAGTATGAGCTACAATTATGTATTTAACTCGTCGATAACTTCCATTTACATATCTATCTGGTCTGAGAGAATATTTGTGATGGAAAACAACACAAGGCAAGAGAGTATAAATAAATATAAAACTTAGTACAACATAAAACCTAATAGTTAATGTATTTTAAGATAGTTGTAAGATTAATAAAGAAACATTCGTGACAAAATGATCACAGGTAGCAAGACAGAATGTTACTGGAAGACGTTCATGATGCAGATGTGAAGATCTAAAAACCGTTTGCAACACTTATTAATGCACAAAACGTTACATTATGCTAGTTTACGGTCTTGTCATCACTTTATGTCACTTGAGTTTGACTGTTTTCGTATTTAATATATCTCTTTCTCTACCTAGATTTCACTACTTCACTAACTGACTATGCAATCTGTCTCGTTGCTGATTTCATTTGATAACAAGCCATAAAAACATTTATTAGACAAGCCGAATTCAACACAAATTTGAATCTAGGTACTGCTGAAAACTGTGTAATGTTTCTTGTGAAAACGGCAATATTACTTTTAGCTGTAGAATAAGATACCGTATTTTTCGTCTTATCTCATAAAAATTTTATTAGCGTTTGGTAAAGTACTAGGAAAATACCTGAAACTTAGAACAAACATTTGATAAAACTTTTATTCACTTTTTGATTTTAAAATATATCGATATCATAATGACATTTTACGGATATCGTTATTCAAAAGCAAGTGCATAAGGTCTTTAGGGACAAAGTTGTCCATATCTTCAGTTCTAATTGAGCTATTTTTATAATTCCAAAGGCATTACGCTTATAATTAAAAGCGTTACAAAAAAAAAAAAAAAAAAAAAAAAAAAAAAAAAACCCTTAAATAGAAGACATGTGCCACAGATATTAAACACAAAATAAACCATAAAATTAACATTCTAAAATACTAAATAAATGAAACGATACAAAATGCTACAATGCAGAAGAACTAAAATAGAATAAAAATGATTAAAATATTTACATCATCATGAATTTTACATATGGACTAATGAAACTGCGCCATATTATTGTAATTTGCGAATATATAAAATTACGCTATATGTAGGCGCATTAGCACAATAAGTTTTTTTTAAAATGAGGTTTTACCTAGATGAAGCAGAAGACGAAATATCAAAATTTTTCTGGAAGAAATCGGGAGATAACAGACCGCCATACTCTGTCGTTGCTTGTGCTAATTTTATATTCATAGGAGTAAGGCTTATCGAATCTGATTTGTCGACCTCATCACAGACAGGTTTTGTGTCATTTTGACATTCATATATGGAATTCGATTCCTGAGTGATGCTTGAACCGTGGTAAAAAATAGTCTCAAATTCTTCTCCGTCCTCTTCCACTATCACTTCAGTAGAATCTAAACAAAATTATGTTAACATATCATATCATCGTCAATAATGTTGGGTGTGCTGCGTTTTTTTTAACCACGAGGCCGTTTATTATCAGCCAGGAGGGTTGCAGCACACTCGTATATTGCATTACATAATCAACAATAAATGATTTAACTTTGAATAAATATATCACAAATTCATAAGCAGACAGATAAAAGCTTTCTTACAGGTTTTCACAAACTTTTCAGTTTACTCATGACGTTTTACTGTGGCTGGAATATTGTCTTCGATTTTTAACCTACTTCATGATAAGCTATTGCGTTGTTATTTTATATATAACACTGTTTTAGGATAGCAATATAATGTGATGAAGCGATGCTTTCAAAAGTAGATTTATACATTTTTACTTAATGTTTAAACGATTTGTCACACATACCTTCGTTTAACGAAAAAAATAAATATATCAGAATTTTATTGTTTACAGCATTGAACACAGTGGGAAAAATTTTTCAATGAGAAAGTATGAACATTTTAATTTAATTTCTGAATTTTTGAAAATCGTACGAATTTTTAGACTATTTGACGTTTAGGATCTTAAAATTTCAACATCAAAAAATATATCGAATATAAAATGTTTTAAAATTTTTACAGATTATAAAACAAACTATTTGCCCTCTTTTAAAATAAGAATGATAAAAAATATTAATTGAGAGGCTTTCTAATTTTTTCTTCCTTGCACGAAGTAAAAAGGAAGTATTATAATCCCGAAAAGTTTCAGGCAGCATATTTCAACGAAAATATCCATTTTGACCTCTATCGAATGCAATTTAACGATGTTTTTGCGTGATATCTGTACGTAAGGACAGAATAAAATACTCTTTTCCTTCAAAAAAATTATAAAACTGCTTTAAAATTAATTATGAAGAGAATTTTTCCTGGCGTCTGTACGAACGTATGTACGTACGTACGTATCTCGCGTAACTCAAAAACGAGTAGCCTCAGAACATTGAAATTTTGTATATAGGGCTGCTATAACATGTAGATGTGCACCTCGTATTTTGGTTGCAATCGGCCGCACCAAACGTATATAAATATATTTATGTATATATCCACTCTGTTAGCCGGCTCGGTGATCTCAGTTTCTTTACTCGTATATGTTCGTAAATTGTACATTTTTTGCTTTAAAAATGATTGAATTATGTTGTTTTTATCTTCCGGTTAAGGTTTTATGCCTTTAGTAAATCTGTATGCAATATTTTTAGAATTATCAACAATTTTAAAGTTGTTTAAGTGCCGCTAAGCCTTTTTTTTTTTTGGCGGCCATTGATTGTTTACATTTGAAACAGCAGACTAGTGGATTTGTTGCAAATCTAGAGAAACTTAGCTTCGCAACACACAAAGATAACGCCTTCATTTATTATTGCGAATTAAATCATGCTTAATCCTTTCTGGAATTTTTTCGAGGAAATAAGTGTTTAAGATTTACTTCGTAATTTTTAATATAGATATTTTGAGTTTTTATGTATTTTTGCCTTCTCGCGAAGTGAGAACTGAATTAATTGAATGAGAAATACTCAATCGTCTGTGAAAAACTGTTTCTTTTTTGTTTTGTTTGCTTAATTTCTTTTATACATCTTTCTAGCTTATTCTTAGTATTTTTCATCTCATTAAAATAGATTTATTTGTTATTTTTATACATGGAAAAAATAATTAAAAATATTAAGAAAATAAGTCATTGAAGGCAGAAGTGACCAGAATTCTAAGCTAAATAAATAGAAATTGGATTAAGGGTAATCTTAAAACACAGGTTATATAAAATACAGGTTATAGTATTTGAATAGAACATGTGGCAACGATTAGATAATTCTATTCTTTAAGTGATATAAATTTTGTGCATTATGAGTCATAATATGAACGAAATATAATAACTGTTAAGTGAATCTAGCGCCACAGTGTCGCTATGGTAAAAAAATACTAGAGTGAATTTTAAAGAATGCATTTATTCTATTGTGGTTTATGTGCTGTCGGCGAAGTAGATTTAATTCAATCCAATACGTTTAAATGAAATGCAAGAAAAAATGCGTATAATTTAATATTCCGTACAAGGAAGTCATGTGGTGTACACATCAGATTTTTTTAAAATGTGTTGAAGTGTAACTTGGCGCACTTAATGACGAACTGGTGACATTCGTTTCTTTTTTCAGTGTTTGCAATGTTGTTTTCACGTCAAATTTCCGAAACTAAATATTCAAAGCGATTTCTTCATTCTTAGGTGTTCAAATATTTTTCTTTATTTCATAATTTTATTATAATTGGTCCAAAGGGTTAATTTGTTCAGAAGGGCTATTGGTTTCGTTTTGGCATTTTGAGTCGATTCACAATAAGTGTTGTTTCACTTTTCAAATTGTTGCGACCAAATATTGTTGCCCTATATTATATTTAAAGAAAAAATTTGGAATTTGTTTTATTATTGATTTCATACTTTGTAAAAACTTTAACGAATTTTTGTTAACAAACTCAAGGATTTCAAAGCGAGTAATGGCAACGTTGTACAGAAAAAAACATTTTTTATCTCCAGCGCTCGAGACTGTGTATCGGAAATTCTTAAGCTATGGTCATTTAAAATTACTTTGCGATATTGCTCTTGAACTGAAATTTTATGATTCAAGTACATGATATTTAATAAATAAATGTAACACACAAAATGTAAAAAAAATAACCCTTTGGAAGTAATTTAAAATCTCAGATTTTTATTTTTTTTATTGCTTCTGTTTTAATAATGACTAAAAATTTCATCAATGATAAAGCGAACTGAGGCAATGAAAAAATGAAAGTGAAGTTAAAGAAACGGTTTTTATACAGCAAGCTTTTATTTAAAACGGGTATGATAATTAATGCCCCAAAAGGAGAAAATAATTTAACCTATAGTTTAATGGGGAAAACAGATTAAATAATTCTACTTATACAATTCATCTACAGTTTTATGTCCGAATAATAAAAGCATGGGCCGCCTAAATAACGAAATCTATTAATTTAATTGCAAGCCATTACCTATTCAAATTTATCACGGGTGCCCCATGTTTTTATTATTCTGGATATTAAATTGCAGTGCGCTTCGGAAGGATATCCGCCAACACTACGAATCACTCTGCCCAACAGGATAACAGCTTGCATCATAACAGCTTGCATCATAACAGCTACGCATTCTTGGGTATTTCGTCTTGAAACTGTATTTCCTGAATGAAACATTCAATTTCACGGTTTCGTTTTCAATACATATACATCATATCTACAAATTTTCGTTCCATTCAGATATAACCTTCTTTGTATATCGCGTTTTATGTAATAGAGTGTATCTTTTAAAATGTCATTAATTCGATATACAACCCAAAATTTAGATCTACATCTGGTTATATAAATGACTTTACAGGCTGTAGAATGTCACTTTAATAATTGCAGATGCTATAACAGAAGTATACTAATTTGGTCTAACATTATTTTCAAGTAAGCATTAATAGTTTAACATCAAGTTCCCCTTGCCAGGATAAATCATTTTATCCATTTGAGTACCAGTGAATATTCACTAATGTACATTCTCCTTAATATGGTTTGGGAAGGTTTTGGAGTTTTATAGATAAATACATTTCTTTTATTTATGACATACTATTATTTTCTTTCGGAAAAAGAGAAAATAATGGATTCAAAATGGTTAACGAATGTACAATGATAATTACTAAATCAACCTGTCTTTACATCACGATTTTAAAATTCATGATTAATATGTAAGAAATGATTTCAAGGTAACATATTAATAATAAAAAAATACGGAACTGTATCAATGATTTCTCATTTTATTATTAAATTATAAATTTATAGTTCTTCTTATGGAAAAAATTTAAGAAGCTGTTTATAAAGTACTTAAAAATGATTATGGAATTGAATAACGGATTGCAAACTAGTAATAAGATATTATTTTTAAAAGGCATTTTTTGAAAACCTCTCTTAGGATCATTACTGAATACAAACCAATATTAGTATTATAAGACAGAAGAGGGATATTCAGATTTTTTCCTTATTTTCTTTCTTAACATTTTATAATGTAAGATAAAAGATGTATTCCCTTCAGGTCCTAAGAGCAACTTTTCAAATATATGATTTAAATTCATCATTCCTTTAGTTTGTAATAATATCTTGTATTTTTCATCTCATTAAAATAGATTTAATTGTTATTTTTATACATGGAAAAAATAATTAAAATTAAGAAAATAAGTCATTGAATGCAGAAGTGACCAGAATTCTAAGCTAAATAAATAGAAATTGGATTAAGGGTAATCTTAAAACACAGGTTATATAAAAAATATTTACTTCTAATTCTGTTATCACTCATTTCTGAAGATTTATCTGAACCTGGCACAGTACCCTGCAAAATGAAGAAATACATTATTAACAACAGAATGATAAAGTACTAAACTGTCAAATAAAAACTAATTGATATATCTTAACATTTTATTCGTCAGACACTCTATCAGTAAAGCTTAAATTAAATAACAGGTACTTACATTAAATAACAGGTTATAGTAAGCAATAACTGTTAGCTATAGTATATAGTATATAGTAATATAGAAAGTTTGCAGCTAGTGGCAGTTTGATGCAAAATGAAGCCATCCAACGAATTACTGGGCAATTATGAGCTCTCAAAACACTTATTTTTTAATAGATAATCATGAGAATTTGCATTTAAGTAACCATTCGTAGAAGTCATTTTCTTGAAGAGAGTATTCTAAGCATATTCTAAGAATAAGTTCTGAGCTTCTTTTCTATGATTTTTCTTTAAAACAATAATTCCTTTTGCCGTTTTCATACTGAAATGTATTTATTTGAGGAGTTGTTTCAAGAATGCTTGGAGAAATTTACGTTATCCCCGTATTATCATGTCACCAAACCATCTAAACATCATGTAATTATCTTCCAAGCTTCAACGTTGATTTTCTGTTCAAAATCTTTCATGGACATAACATCGAGTGGATAGGCAAAGATTTATCCTTTGCATCATCTTTGCAGTGTACAAATCATTGAAACAGCTAATTAATTAAGGCAACACAATCTACATTAATAAAATGCAAATATCTTCTATATAGACTTCAAGCGTAGTAAATCTTGTTTGCATAAAAATGAAAGTACAAGATCTAGTATGCATAAAAAATCACATCCATGAATAAGACAAAATACTATTATATTTTAATTTTCATCATCGTTAATAATTCCATAAAGTAGGAAGTAGGATAAATCAGTATGGCTCAGATTTTTTCTATGTCATATACAGTTTTTGAAAAGCAGCTAAACCTTAGCTAATTCAGTTATTAGTTTCTGAAGTTATTTCAAGTTTATTAAATTTATAAAGTTAGTATAAACTCAGCAGCGAGATTTTACTAAGGCTAACTCCGTTTCTCAACTTCATTTAAAACTGGTTTTCGTGTTTATACTCTCGAAAATTTCTTTATTTTGCTTTGATTCTGTATTTTACTATTCAAAGAAAGCGATTTCATTCAACTAGCTGGCAATTCACTTACATAAAAAATGTAGGATATTTTCAATAATTCTAAGAGCTTCTTTAGATTATCAAAAAAGTAGCAGTTTTCTGCTAAGAAAATTATGTTGAAACTGTAAGATTTATAGGAATGATGATCTCATCGGTAGCTGTAATTTTTAACAACTTTTATGATTCAAAATGCTTTATAAGCAATTACATTTTATCAAAATCATTTAGCCCTTTCTCTCAGTTATTGTTGTTTGATGGCTTAAAGCTACCATTCATGAGACAGTACTGGGATAAATAACAACACTTTGCACACAGTTGAGCAATGCTAATGCTTTATTATGGGTTATGAGCCACCTGTATTAAGCCTACTCAATTTTAAACTAGATTAATAAAACAATAAATTACTTTGTAAAATTATGAAATTTGGCTGCTATACCAAAATGCTTCTTAATGTAAAGATTAGCGTCATTGTGAAACTGAGCATAGATACCAAACAATTTTCAAAAAATGTAAATGAACACCGTCAACTAAGATACGTTAAAATACTGATAAAGATACTTATGTATTACAGTATCACAAAATTCTTTTATATTTAGAACTAAATCATCTCAATATTATTTCCGTGCACTATGCTGCTGATGTTACATATATATGATGTTATACACACATCACGTGCTGATGTTTACTTTGCAGCTTTAGCGTGATGTTATATGTATATATACATACACACATATATAACTGTGCGCGAATATGCCTTCGCATCCAATTTGTTAGTCATTGTGGATTAGCAAAATTCCTGCTCCCTGAATATATTACACACACACACACACACACACATATATATATATACATTTCGGCAACATGTTGCGGCTACACACAAGTCGGCACGTTAAATGCGCCTGTTCCAAAAGGCTTACATTTTTGATAATTTTGTAGCAAGAAAGCAGAGCAAACAGACAGCAGTATAGCTGGGCCAAAGCGTAAAGCAAGGGCGTATTGATCAGGATGAAATCTCAAGTCAGACGGAGTTAGTTTTGGTTCTCAAAGCATTCTGATTGGATGGTTAACATAGCCGTAAAATTATTATTGGCTGTTACAGAGTTTTAGTTCCGTTTGCATCATCAGAATTATGTAAGAGTAATAACGGCATGGAGTTTTCTGGAAATGACGCAGTGCAGAGAGGAGTTACTATTTTTAAATGAGAAGGGAAATTAATTTAGGCTGCTAATTTAAACTTTTACATATTTTCTTACATATTCCCCCCTTCAAGAAGACAAAGGCGTAGCGACAGAGAAGCCTTTTTAAAGAAAAAGCGTTAAAGCACTAGCAAATGAAAAAAAAATAAATGATAAAATTTGATTCTATAAATAAATTTATAAATACCATTTCTAAAATAAATTAAAAATTTTTAGAGTTTCTATTGAATTTGTCAGCATTTAGTCCAAAATCGTTTTGTTTTGAGAGTTCACATATATTTCTTAGGGAAGGTTCTTGATATCCAAACTTTACTAATCATTCTTATACTTAAATGTAATGCACATAAACTTATGATACTATTTCCATACTGATAAATTATTTTTTAACACCATAAAATAACGAGTAACAGTCAGAAATATGGTTTCACCTTATTCCCTTTATTTAATTGTTGATTTTACCAAACTGGAGGCCTCGCGCTTAACCAAATTACTAAACTGATTTGAACCTATTGCTAGAATTTGCTGTATGAGATCAATTAACAAATGCAAAATCTTTTTACATTGGATTTGGCAGGCTATGGCATATAAATTAAATGAAAAGATACTGAAAAATTGGCTTCACTACAATTTGGACTGTATGAGTTAACTAGATTACCTTTGGTTGGAAAATTCCCCAGCTTTTTCCAAAGAGCTCTTAGACAAATTTTAAACAAATATCAGATTCATTGCTTTAAAATTTTGATGATTGATAGTATTCTCTCCAAATTTTGGTGAACATTTAAATCACTAAAATAATATTTGCTATTTGTAAGAAAGAAATAAAATTAAAACAATCTAAATGTAATTTTAAAGAAAAAATAAAATTTATGATATGAATTCAAGCAGGTAAACCGACCCAGTAATCAATATAGAGGTATTAAGAGATTGCAACTCCTAAAAATGTCAAAGAATTACAAAGATTTTAGGAAGTATTAATGTTTATCATAATTTATTCAAAATTATGCTAAAATTAGAGTCCCATTAACAAATTTACTTAAGAAAGATGCTCCTATAATTGGACTGATGGATGTCAAAAGCTTTTCAAAATTAAAGATTCATTGATTTCTAGACCTATTTTGTTTAATCCTAAATATCCCGTCATGTATTTGTTGATGCTTCCAAAGAAGCTGTTGGTTGGTTTTAAAACAAGACATCCTGATGGGAGTTTACATCCAATTGCTTTTCATTCTAGAAAATTAAGATCTTTGAACAAAATTCTGCCTTACTGAGCTGAATGTTTATCTACTATTGATGTAATTGATAAATTTTATTATTAGTTTACATGGTAACATTTTACTGTACCTAGTGATCAGTTTGGCTTAAAAATATAAAAACCCTACAGGCCGTCTATTTAGATGGTCTTTAAAATTATCTATGTTGATTTTGATACAAAATATAAAAAGGATCTATAATTTGAAGCTGAATGCTCTCTAGAAATCCTATGTGTCAACATTAAGATTGCAAGTTAATTATTATCATTAGAAGAAATAAAAGAATATCAAAATTTAGATATGTTTGTAATCTAAGTATAGGAAAATGAATGATGTTTAACTATCAAAAACAGGGATTGTACAAAATTGTGATAGCCATGTCTCTGCCTACGAAATTACTTGAAAAGGCCATATACAATTTGGTCATACTGGTGTATCATCTATGCAAATTTGTTTTCTCCACAATATTATGGCCAGGAATGTTCAAATGTTAGAAATTATTGTACATTGTGAAGTATGTCAGTTTAATAAGAAAAGAAAAACAAAAGAAATTTGGTTTAATGCAAAATTTACCATCATTTAGTGAACCTTTTGAAATATATCTATTGATATTGTAGGTGGTTTAAATATTTATAATTCTACTAAAACGTATTCACATAATTATTGATCGTAACTAGATATATATGAACTTTTGCTTCTAAAAGTGTAACTACAGATCTTATATAAATGCTTAAAACAAATTTTTTCAAATTCAGGTCCCTAAAAGATTTAAGTGATAGGAACGCGCTTTTACATCTTCAAAACTTAAGCACTTTTTAAGGAATCATAAGTAAAACATTGAACTACTGCAAATAGACCACAAACTAATGTATTGAACGTGTTAATCAAACTTTGGTTCTCAAAGAATTCTGATTGGATGATTAACACAGCCGTAAAATTATTATTGGCTGTTACAGAGTTTTAGTTCCCTTTGCATCATCAGAATTATGTAAGAGTCATAACGGCATGGAGTTTTCTGGAAATGACGCAGTGCAGAGAGGAGTTACTATTTTTAAATGAAAAGGGAAATTAATTTAGGCTGCTAATTTAATCTTTTACATATTTTCTTACACACACACATATATATATCCATATATGGATTCGCGTACAGTTATGCGCATATTTCCTTCACATGCATTAACTAATAAAATATTTGCTTCAGCATGTAAGTGACATATGTTCTAATTTACTTATTGTGAAAAATTAAAACTAACGTTTTTCAAATAATAAGGAAAAAGACAAACTCAGCTCTTCATTTTTGAAATAATGTTAACAAATGAAAAAATAAAAAAGTTAGCTCTAAATTCGGAATATAAATAAAGGTTGAAAAAGGATTCATTCGTTGCCATACTTTACCGCCCGTTACGCTGTGAGAGTAAAAAATCATTCATTGTCAGCTGCTTTTACATGTAATACTGACTTATTATTAACAATGACTTTCTCTTTTGATATTTTCGCCATTTTGTATCGGTATTAGTGTAAAAAATGAAACACCAAACAGTATAAAATCAATTGACATTCTCAAGTCGATAACTTACATTCGGGTGTACATGCGTATTTTATATCGCAGTAGTTAAACTGTTGCTTTAATTTTACAAAATCGTATAAATTGTTTATGCTTCTTACAACATTTGTAATGAGAGCATGCAAACTTTGCCTCTAGAACTGAAAACAAGGTTAACGCAGCTAAAATGCTGAGACCTGTAAATCAGCGTTATCCTTCTACATATGACTAAATCAATGAGATGTTTACAAATTAAAAATCTTTAAGAACTATTTCTTCTTTCCAAAATAAAAATGTGAGTATCTGCAAGAAATTTCTTTGAAATGTATGAGCTGCGTTTCACTATTTAGCCAATAAAGTTTCTTTTCTCACTGTTGATAAATTTTTGTTATCGGACTTCTTTTAACACTTATTTCCTCATTTGTTATCCTCAGTTATATCTGTCTCTCATTTAACCGATTTTAAGTCTTTTTCTACTGTATTTAAATCCATTTATGACTTTTCAAGCATTTACCTCGTTTACAATTTTCAATTAATAAGAGTTACTTTCTTTCTATCAAAATAAATAAATAAAAAAAATCTGAAATTTTTCAGATTTTAAATACGTCCAAAGGGGCGTTTTTTTTTAACGTATTGAGTGTTACCTTTATTTATTAAATATCATGTTCTTGCACTTAAACCAAAATTCAGTCAAAAAATATCGCAAAATATGTTAAATTAAGCTATCTTTAGAATTCCGAGATACGCAGTCTCGCGAGCTGAGATAAAAGTACTTTTTTTCTATTAAACGTTGCCATTTCTCGCTTTTAAGCATTGAGTTTGTAAATCAAATCGTAAAGTTTTACAAAAATAAAATCTATAATAAAACCAATTCCAATTTGGGCTTTCAGATGTCCAATTCGTAGGATTCGTCATTCAAAATTCGATGGCTCTATTACCATTGTTTTATCACATGCGAGAAATAGACAATCATTCGCAGATTTTTTCATTATTTAATTTCTTCAAATATAATGCAGGACTCTAACATTTGTGGAACAGTTTGAAAAGTGAACGACGTTTATGAGTCCGACGCAAATGCCAAAACGAACAATAGTCCTTCGGGACTGAAATCCCTTTGGACTAATAAATAGAACTAAGCACCACCGCTTATGAATAGTTACCATTTCCCTATGCTTATTTCATGAGATATTCCATAGTTAAAGAAGATTACACACGGAAAATAAAGTGAACAACTTCAGTCTGTGACTATTTTGATGGTGGCTGATAACTTTAAAGGTATGAATTAGGAGATGCGGTATTGTATTGCACGGGAAAATATTAGCTATGTCTTTAAAAGTCATTCGGTACAATGAACTACTACTAGTAAGAATCTTGTTCATAAGGACTTTGGATTGTATGCAGATAATCCTTTTATCTTTACTTACTAAACATATTCTGATAGACAAAAATGATAATTTTATTCGCAGAGAACCAATCATAAAACGACTGATTCCTTCTTCCTGTTTCACTCTAGTATATCTATAATTTTTTTATAGGTCTGAAATTTAAATTATTCACTTTTTGGCTCTACTTTGAAAGTAGAGCCAAAAAGTGAATAATCGGAAAAAATCTAAGTTTCATTTATTCTTGGTTGATATAGATTATCGTTGCAAGAGTCATATCATTTTACTTATTTCATAGGTAAGTGTTACCATAAACATTATAACACTCCATACACCATAAAAAGTATAATAACACATAATTCTATGATGTTTTAAAGTATAATGATCATTTTTATGACTTTAAAATATATTACACATGTTTTAATTTTTCTACAGGCGAAACCTTGTGTTACATGCATAAATTACAAATTAAATAAAAATAATAAATATAAGGCATGGTATATGAACCATGCAAACACAGAACAATAATGTTACATATAAAAGGGGAGAATTATTATAGTATGATATCTCAACTTATATACTTGTGAAAATTTGATGTTTCCTTAATTTGGAGACAATTTGTATTTACTTAAATACAGTAGCGCTTTACTTAACACAGATTTAGAGTAGATACACGGTTATTAAACTAAAACGTGAGGGGTCCTTTTAGAGAAAAGGAAAGGGAGAAGGGGGAATCAAGGTTCCTATTAAGTGCTCTTTGGTTTAGTGGTCAGTAAGTCCAACTTACAAATGGAAGGAAATGTGATTTATTTCTAGGCAAAGGCTGACTTTTCATATTTCCTTTTTAGAAAAATCCAAATGCTCTCTACAATATGCGATTAAAAATGAAACCATATGTCAACCACAGAAAATTATATCGTGACAAAAGTTTAAGGAATGTTATAGAAGATGATCTAATTGGCATACATAAAAATTGTTGCATTTAGTTTCTTTAAATTTTTCGTTTTCAAACTTTATTTGAAACCTGGAATATTTGGCAGACACACAATTGTATTTTTATTGAGATATGTCTATAGCTAAAAGTCATTTCTTTTTATTTTTTAATTCGTTTAATTTAAAAATACTGGTATTAAAACGTTTTAATATATTTCATGAGTAAATGTTTTGTCACCATTTTATAAGCAGAAAACATCTGCTGAACATTCATCGCTTTCTTTCAATGAAATATACAGCACCTTCAAACCACAAATTTTCACCGTTATTGTATCAGCAGCATTACACTAAATTAACCCCAGTTTCACTTATACAATATTTAAATCATTTCAAATAGAAAGCATTCTTAAACATGTCAATTTTCTGCCTATTTCAGTTTTCGATTTTTCTGTCTGAGTGTTTTAACTATATGCTTAAGGTTTTGTGCCCATATCAAACGAGGCTTTAATTATGTAAATTTTTGAGAAAAGTACACTTTCTAGTTTCAACTCCAAAGATGAAAATTGTAAATATCCATTTAAAGGTACTATTTAAAACTTCATATCTAAACTCCATCAATTTTAACTTCATCTGAAAAAATTACCTCTGACGCATAAAGATGAAAAGAAGGCCCAATGCAAATTTTCTGGCAGTTAGAGGCAAGCAGAGCTCCTAAATGCTGCATGGCTTCTTGTTTGTCTTTTTTGAAATTTTCAGGCATATTCTGGGCTTCTAAAGACAAGGTCTGAGCCAGGCTAATGCATGTTTTCATCTCCTCTGTAAGTTCCATATTTACTCACCTTCAACAATTTAATACACAAAATCAAGTGAAAATCAAATTTATTTAACATACGTTATGAGATTAGAAGGAAAATTATCCAGAAATCGTGATATACTTTGCTAGTATATCATGATCTGTATATTAGTAAAAAATATTGTGCGTAAAGAAATTTGTCAAAACACAATGCATTTTAGTGCGCATTAATTTAAACTGAAGCAAAATTAATAACTCGTGAACTTCATACATTATACCTGCTAATTCTCATTCGCTCATTAAGCCAGTTGATCCTCTAGTGAATAAAACAATAAAAATTAAATAAAAGAATCAGAGTAACTATCGTTTTTTTTTTCTGTTTGTGGTCAAACAAGAAAATATCGTGCATCCATCTGAAACACGTTAGTTTAAAGTAGCACCCAATTGTGGCGTGTACGCCAGCTATAATATCGCACTGACACTAGTATAATAGTGCGTTTATAAAATTTCACTTTAATGCCATAAATGGCTTGAAAGATGGAGAGATGTTGACAAGAGATATCTCGTTTACCTCGACTTCTTAACAACTTAAATTTATTTGTTTTGCTTCAGGCGCCCAGTGTTTAGTGACTCTCACCGCCGCGCCGAAGGGCCCGAGTTCGAATCTCGCAGAAAGCAAGGATGTGAATTGTCAGTCCCTTCCTAGGCAAAGGTGGTCGCAAACTAGGTGCCTCCATGACAAAATGACCACCGCTTCTGGTCAAGCCTAAAATGACTGGTGCCAGCCATAAAAAAAAGTGTTTTGTTGCAGTGCTTTGTTTAAAAGTTTGTTGAGCAAGTCCTATAGTTTACAAAATGGATGAGTTCTCAAACCAGCTTACCTAACAACAGTTTTTTGTGTTAAAGAGAAAACGTTTATGGAATGGCAAAATATGCAAAGATCACTGCTTTAGCCGCATAATGTTCCGAAGGCAATCGACAGTCAACCGCTATCAGCATCATATGATGGCATTAATCTGGCCAAATTCGGGAAATCATTTTTTTTTTAAGTGGTCGACTGACTTCCTGAATCGCTGATGGCTGCAAAATTTCATCGGATGCTGTAACCGCATTCTAATCGGAAACTTTCAAATGCCTGGAAAGACCATGAAATTTATTCCGTAGCTACTGACTTTGTAACAGAAGATAATTATCTGCTGGATTGCAAACTTTGGATCACGAATATCAAGATGAAAATTTCATAAAAATTATCACTAATGATTAAACATAAATTTACGGCTTCAGTAAATTGATGGTACAGCAATCTTTGGCTTTGGAGACACAAAAGCCAGTGATTAAACAGACTTCATAGATTGAAAATTAATTTCCATAATGGATGTTAGAAATATTCCTAGAGACAAGACACAATGTGACAACAGAGACCAAATATTGTCATCCTCCGTTCTCATCTGGACCGGGTAGCCGAGCGGTAAAGCACTAGACTCCCATCCCAGAGATAGCGAGTTCGAATCCCGGCGGTGGAGCTGCAGAAATCCAGAAGGTACAGATCCTTGTTCGTCCCTAACGTGGACTTCTTATCAATTTCTTTCACAGTAAACCCTTAATGGTGTCGTTCACTTCCCTTTAGCCAATGCTCTTTCTAATTACTTCTTTTTCTTAACGAAGTTGTGGAGGTAATTGCATTAAGTTGCAAAGGTACTCCGGAAAATATCGCCTTGGGCCGTTCTCCTCTGACCTGATACTTTCAAATATTTTTCTGCTCCTAAAGATCACTTTTACTTTAAACAGACGAATACTCTACGTTATCGACAGTATTAAAAAAATTCCCAAAAATAGCTGAGATCCAAAATGTATCCATGTGAACTACTTCAAAAATCGGACACGACTTTGACAATAGTGCTACAGCTGAGAAGCAGCATACTTTGAACATCACAATATTGAAAATAAGTTACGAGTGTGCTAAAAAATAAATAAATAAATAAATAAATAAAATGCGTAGGAGCGTTTTGAATGGCTGAAATGAAATTTCTTTAATAGCAAACTGGTTTTTCATCTGTGTTGCTATATTGTACGCGATCTTAGTGTCGTAAAAGTAACAAATAGAAATGAAAAATCGCAATGCTATTTAAGAATGAATAGCAAATAGGAAGAAAAAGAGTTGATAGATCGATTCTCAAAATACACACCTAGCGACAAATTCAGAGGAGATTGATTGCACTGTTTTCGATATTTCGTTTTTTAAATTCAGCATGAACAACGATGAAATAATTTCTTGCTTTTAGACCAGAAGGGCTATCATTCTCAAAACGGCATTTTGCATCGAATCGCTTTTCAAATTGTCGCTAGCAAATATTATAGCCCTTTATTATACTTAAAGAACTTAAATAATAAAGAATCTACATGAATGTATTATGTATGTTTCTTGTATTGTAAAAAAACAAGGGTACCTAGAGTCATAAAATTTTGAATAACATAGTTCTCCATCCGAACATGGGCACCTGGAAGCCCGAATTTGTTTTGTTGTCTGTTACCTAATTTGTAAAACTTTAACTAATTTTTGATTAAAAACTCAACAATTTCAAAGCGAGCAATGTCAGCACTGTAGGGAGTAAAACATTTTTATTTCCATCGCGCGAGAGTGTTATCTAAAGCTATGCTGTTTTTAAATATTTTTAGTACAATGTGGCGTTAGCTCAAATGCTCTCGAAACGTGTATGTGTCTGTAAATGAAAAAACGCTCCTTTGGAAGTAATATATAATCTGAAAATTTTTCAGATTTTTTTGTTTTGTTTTACAGCTATTAAAATGAAATGTAACTTTCAAAAGTGTAGTTTCTGTTTTGATTCGAAATTTTAAACCTGCAAGAAATCTAATTGATTTCAGTTAGAAATTGACATATGCATTTGAATTATCATTATCAATATGAGAAACCAGTTTAGATCATGTGACGTTCGATATATCTAAATATATATAATGATAATTTAATGATTTTGGAGGCTACATCGCAAACTTTCTTATAGTATAGCCAAACGACAAACTCAAATTTGTACATACTTATATAAAAATTTAAATAATGGAACTATATTAATTATTGTTGTATTTCCGTATGCGTAAATGCGTCGTTTACAAATTTTAATATTTTCAGGCTTTATCGGGTCTTCGTACTGAATATAAAACATAGAATAATACTTAAGAGAACTTAGAAAATGAATGAGATGCTTAAACCACAGGTGCAAAAGTTTTACCCGAATTTCACTTTCACTTTCTTTTATCAAAGGAAAAGTGCTTATGCAGAAGTAAGCAAATAGGGGCGAAGTTGACTTAAGATTTGTAAGTTTATCAAAAACATATTTCCTCTTACATTTAAAGATTTTTGTCAATTTTAACCTAAATACTGATTAGAGTCAGACATCTATGACAGAATAACCGATAAAAACCAGACAAAGGGTAAAGAAAAATCCGAATGATAACAATGCTTATTTAAAAGAAAGAGAAAAAAGGTATTCAATTAAAGGTTTCTGGAGATCAGACAGACTCTACTAAGTAACAGATTAAAAGCGACAATGTGGAGGAATCAAGGAAAGAAATATCATTCCTAATCTGAAGAAATGTCCTTTATATAATTTCACATTTCCAGGGATATTTCCTCAAAGAATATAATTTCTACATCTAGCAGTAGAATAACACGTTTAATGAGCTGTAAACCTAATAAACAAGTAAAAAAAATTACAGCTTAGAATTAAGAATATATTTTGTGATCTAAAAAAAAAAAAATTACTTTGGTTAACTTATTCTACTATAGTTCCATTTATCCCTTCTCCGCTGTGTTGTTGTTATCGTGATTCTGACCTAATTAGAATTTCACTTCTCTAACCTAATCAGAATAAGCCCACAGTGCAAGATGTCTGCCGTTGGCAAAAAAGAGCCTTGAGCACCAAAAAGGGACAGTACAAGTTTGCTCACCCCTGCCTCAATTTTGAACGCGAGCATCCACGGGTGGTCCGAAGGTCTGTTCCCCTACCTCTCGAGAAGGCTTTTGGCTCGTATATTTCGAGTACCCCATGCCGCACAGACACCATACATTTCCTAACAACCCTGCAGATTCGAATCTGGACCATTAGGTACGGCTATTAGCATTGCCAACAACTTTCCCATTTGGCGGTCTTCTCTGCTGTAAAGCACAGGATTAATTCTAGTCAGCAAGTCAGCAATACAAAATTCTAAAGAAGGTTTTCAGACTAATAAAATAGGTCTAATTTAAACTTAAACTTTAAATAATATTTGTCCGAAATGAAACACAGCCCTTAGGAGGAATAAAAGAGATAAAAAAATAAGATAAAGTATACTGACACTTTATTAAATGCAGCATCACTCTAATCTATTTCCAATATTTAATCGCATTTTAATTAGGACAAAATATTTCATTATTCATAATTTAAATTCAACTAGTTTTTAAGTTTTCCGTACGTTCTTCATCAATGAATATCATTTAAATAGTGGTTATAGTTTAATTTATGTGTATGCGTACTGCAAAGTTTTAAAATTTATATTATTATAACAACGAAAGAAGTGCGTATGTGTCAGGTATTGAGAGAAAAATAGCTTGAGACTTGTCATTATGAAATCCGTCTTTTGATGAGGAAGCAGGCTATTCAAAGATTTTGCAACAAATGAGACGGAAATAAGCAATCCAAATTATTTTACACGTCATTTTAAAACTAATAGCAAGTTTTGAGAAAGAGTGTGCCGGTATTGACTAAATGAACAGTTTATTTCTTATAATTCCATGCATTAAAAATAAAAATTTCTTGACAAATTAACTAGCTTAGTATATAATCAGAAATATCATAAAAACAACTTTTATTACTTTTTTGAAATTTTAGCAAATGTAATTTTGTATAAATAAAAATGTGTATAAAAGTTTAATTCATTTGAATTTTATTAAATAATCTCAATAATAAAATACTTCACAATTATTGAATTATTATTAATTTATGCTTTATTTTTCAATCTTATTTTCGAAATACGTTTTAGTAAATCCGTAGTTAATGTATAAGTTATTTGCTCCCCCCCCCGGAAGAAATGGGTCTAGACACACAAATTTTCTCATTTCTTTTGATGTTCGAGCGTTGTTAAAGAGAATCGGTGTCTTACACGACAGACATATGTACTTCAAATACTTATCGGCTACATTTACGGGAAGTCTGATATCAGAGCAAGAACAATAATTCACGATAGCATTATTCAAAATACAATAATCTGTACTATGCGAAAGTAACATATTAAATATGCTTAGTCACAATCAGTTTCTGGAAAGAGAGAAACATTTCATTAATTTTTCATTCCCTATTTAAATTAATAATTTATAGCAAAACGATGTTCACTTAATAGAGTTTTTTCTTTTTGTAACGAATTCCGGCTGCCATTTTATAAAACATTAGTAATGTAAATAAATCATCATTGGGAAACCCGTATGATCAATATGCATTTCAAGAGGAATAAATAACTTACCTTCCGGTAACGGCCTTATGAGAAATCTAAATGTTATGTTTTAGTTGCAAACCGGAGGAACAGAACTTCAGTAACGTCGAAAGAAGTCTTGCTTCAAAGAAATTTCCAATAGATGGCGCTAGCAACCAGCTTGGTTTTTCACAGTTTCGTAATTCGTTGCATCCAATAGTGAAATGCATGAAAGCGGAAGTAGGACCTTGTATTTTTCATCGTGAAATAATTGATAAAAGGTGCAGTTGAAGATAAAAGGTGCAATTGAAAATATAAAAACTGCAAATGATAGACCAGAATGATTATTTTGGATCGAGGAAGAGATTTCAGAAAGTGGTAAGTGAAATATATACTAAACTTACAAAAGCAATTACTGGGAAACGTTTTGGAATTACAAAAAGCTGTTATTTTTTATTTATTCATTTTTGTCTGTTAATGATATAAATTAAAGAATAAATTAGTCGGATATTTTCTGTTATTGGCTGACACACGCCAAAGAGTTTTATAGAGAAAGATATATACACAGAAGCTGCCTGTTGGTCACCTTAAATTAAATGTGTTATTTTTAGTTTTATAACAATACGGTTGTTTTCAAAATAAATACTTTCAATAATAAATAATATGCCTAATTTTTTTCATTTTGCTTTAATTCATAACCTATAAGATATATTTCTTACGTTCTTTTTTTTTTTTTTTTTTTTTTTTTTTTTTTACCATTATCTAAATGAGCTGAGAATGAAGGTATGTTTTCCAACTGGAAGATAAAATTGCGCATATAATCTTTCTGCAGAACATTGTTTGGTCACTGTGTCTTATTAAGGGAAAAAGTCGTTTTACATAAAATATGTGAATAATAATTTTTTGTTTCAGTTTTCGATGCTAATTAAAATTTAATAAGATATTTAAATTATCTCATTTTTCTATTACTTTATTTTTCCTTTATGACAGGCATAAATCTTATAATAAATTTTGAATCATAAAAATATGTATCAATCAAATTTTAATTTTATTTGAAAATAAATGGCATGAAATATGTTCGTTACAGCATCCACCATTTAACATATTTAATTTATTTTTCGAGATATTATTTGATTTATTTTTATCAAGGTAAATCATCATTTTATACATAAAATTAGCAAAGCAGCAACTTTCTGTCTGACAAAGATTTAGTCAATAACTTAATTGATTTCGAAGGCAAACAGGTACAAGTCCCTTTTCATCAGGAGCAAAGAAAGCTGCAAGACTGAAAAGCAGCGGGCGCAACAAACGTATTTATGTCCTACGGCAATTATGCTTTACTGCTTTTATACCCTATGGCAGTAAATTAGGCTTTACAGTTTTGCATATTTCTTTGCTCCTGATAAAGAGGAACTTACACCTGTCTGACTTCGAAATGGATTTAATTATTGACTAAATCTAAGCAAAACAAAATGTTGTTGCTTTGCTAATTTTATGTTCTACTTGGGCGTGTTTCTCTTCTGTTTTGATTTCATCATTTGATAATTTGTTCCCCAAAACATTATCTAATTAACTGTTTAGGGTAAGGTAAAAGTAAAATACACTCTTATAAAAAAAAAAAAAAAAAAAAAAAAAAAAACGACTTACCAAGAAAGAGTTATCCGAATGGGACGACAATCGGTAGAAGTGACGTACATGTACAAAAAAACAATGATTAGATGATTTATTGAAGTGATAGAGCTTCACAAAGTGAAAAAGTCAGTAACGCGGTTGTCCACCTCTGGCCCTTATGCAAGCAGTTATTCGGCTTGGAATCTATTGATAGAGGTTGCGGATGTCCTCCTGAGGAATATCGTGCCAAATTCTGTCCAACTGGCAAGTTAGATCGTCAACATCCGGAGCTGGTTGGAGGGCCCTGCCCATAATTCCCCAAAGTGCTCAATAGGAGAGAGATCTGGCGACCTTGCTGGCCAAGGTAATGTTCGGCAAGCACTAAGGCAAGCAGTAGAAACATGCGCAGTGTGAGAGCGGGCATTATCTTGCTGAAATGTAAGCCTAGGTGACGTGACATGAAGGGCAACACAACGGGCCTTAGAACTTCGTTGACGTACCGCTGTGCTGTAAGGTTGCGACGGATGGCAACCAAAGGGATCCTACTATTAAATGGAATGGCACCGCAGACCATCACTCCTGGTTGTCAGCCTGTCTGCCGGAAGACAGTCAGGCTGGTACCACACCGCTGTCCGGGGCGTCTCCAGACTCGCCGTCGCTGGTCATCGAGGCTCAGTTCAAAGCGAGACTCATCAATGAAGATTATTCTACTCCAGCCAATGACATTCCAGTACGAATGAGCTCGACACCACTGCAAACGGGCTTGGCGTTGTACAGAGGTCAATGGTAGTCGGCGCAAGGGGCGCCGTGACCTCAGCCCCAATTTCTGTGAGTCGTCTATGAATGGTCCTTGCGGTCACTGAAGCACAATCGATGATAATGATGCATCTGGGACTTTGAGTGCCGCTCTGACTATTACTCGGTCTTCACGTTCTGTAGTTTCTCTAGGCCTACCGCTTCCTTCTTGACGCTGTGTGCGGCCATGGTTCACCCATTCCTGCCAACATCGTCTAATAGTGGCATCGCTCCTGCTCAAATGTGGAGCTATTCGCCGATAAGACCAACTGGCTTCTTTGATCCACTACACGACCTCTCTCAAATTCTGACATCTGCGCATATCGTTCGCGCACCTGTATGCGAGGCAATATTACTGTCTACCAGAGTACATGGAATGAAATTCGTAAAGAATTTATGACCTGGAATCGTAATTTCTCCTCTTAAATATCCTGCCAGTTGCGCAGATCAGATGCGCTGTAGCGACAACGTATTCATTTTGCAGCAAAATGTAAAATTTTGCACTTTCCGTCGAAACCTGTATGCATATCAGTTTGTGTCCAATTTGCTTTATATCTTTTCGGTCCGTCGTGCTGAGTCTTTTTTTCTTTTTTTTTTGTTTAAGAGTGTATTTAAAGAGACTAAAATTCACAGAACAAGACGATAGATCAGCTCAAATAATAAAAATTTTTACTTAGAGTGACTCATGTTTTACTTTTTGAAAAGGCGTTACCGTCAAGGCCATCTACAGGCAATGAATGAATTATCAAGAATTTTTATATATTTTGCAGTGTGGATAAAAGTAAAGAAAGATTGTATGCTTTTTTTAAGCTATTGGGAAGCGTGTGATAACATTAAGAAAGCTAGTCCGTTGAAAATTAAAATTATGATTTTATGAGCTTAATATCTGGTTAAAAGCTTAAAGTATGATTTTATGAATTAATTCTTTGGAGGCAAATGTGATGCAACAGAATGTTTACTTAACGTGATTATTCAAATGTAGGTAAGTATTCTATTTTTTTCATTGTTTCTTCTTTCGTATTTGCTGCTTGATTAAATTCTAATACTGTTTATTTCTTCATTTCTACCGAATACTGAAGTTACGTGAAAGGACTATTAATTATAAAATATACGACGCTGTTTTTTCTTGAATGATCTGAAAAATTGGTGTGGCATTATTTTTTTTTATTAATAGTTGCAGGAAAAAATTCAAAAAAATCGCAGAATCATTAGAAAAATGCATTGGAGAGAAACTCCTATGAAATATACTTTTTATTAATTGTACCTCACTAACAGAGCTCGAATATTTTCTTCTCTAATAAGCGAAAAATGATGCATGGAAGTTTATATAGTACAGTATCGGCTACAGAATTTTGCTCAAAAGATCGGGGGAAAAAAAAAAAAAAAAAAAAAAAAAAAAAAAAAAAAAATTCAAAAAAAATTAATATATATATATATATATATATATATATATATATGATAAGTCCTTTTATGCAAACACCACCATCAGAAATTAGATAATAACTTATTAACTGACTTGAAATAGATAACGCATCTCATACGTCCTACGTTATTTGTCTATCACTATAAAGACGTAAGGAAAGTATTATGCTTATGCTTATGCTTTACGTTCACTACAGGCATCAACTTCTTAGAGTTTAAACCCGATCATTCTAACTTGTCATACGGCCATTCAAGGTTGTAGAAAAATTTAGGGCGCTATCACGCCACTCACCCGAAGGCGAAAATAAGAGTCTGAGAGATCAGGCAGTCAGAGCTTTAAGGTGGCAAATCAAAGTGGCGTACACTAACATAATAGCAAAAAATTTAAATTTTAAAGTCATGAAAATCATCTGAGTCCTGACTGAAGAACATAAAACTGCTCAGTGAGGGATTTGAGAGAATAATATCTAATTCTTGGGAATTCAGGGTATGAGTTTTACGTGACCGGTGACCGGTGTATCCCACCTTCTCCACCTCAGTTTCAATTTTATGGTGTTACAATTATTACCTCTTGTAAAATACCTAAAAGTAGGTCTTTGCCCCAGTATCTAGGCACCCCCCCCCCCCACAGTCCAATTCTAGGTAAATAATTTTTGTTCTCTTAACTAAAATTCATCACAAACAGCCCCATTAATCTGCTTGGTTAAATATTTGATAAATTGTTTTTGCTGCATTATCTTGCAATAAATAGGTAATATTCGTTTTAAAATTATATACATATTTACAGCTACCATTTTACATTGTGGTGAATTTACCTAGGTCGTTTCACGACGCTTTCCACAGTGGGATCATAATAAAGATCATAATTCAAAGTATTATGCTTATGCTGTTATCTCTCAAAGTATTATGCTATTCGTAAGTTCTCTTATTGACTGGCGAATTCTCCATTTTCTCAAAAAGGTTGTAAGCATCGATTAGGATCTGCTCCGGTATTGGTTTAATTTTTAAATCTTGATAAATGATCGTATTTACAACATAGTACCAAGGTGCATTAACCATCGCTCTTAGTATTTTATTTTGCAGGAGGGTAATTTTCCTTCGTTCAGTCTTTAACGCCGTGGCCCAGGCCGGGGCAGCCTAAAGCAAAATTGGTGTAATAAGTGCTAAATACAGAGTACGTTTAATTTTTAAGCTAAGTTTAGATTTCCGTCCCGTGAAATTATAGAGGGATATATAAGCTCTATTTGCTTTGTTAACTTGGTTAATTACATGGTCAAGCTAAGTCCTTCATCAAGAATCACTCCGAGATATTTAGCGGACGAAGGGACTGGGATGATATTATTTCCAGTTTTTATGTCACTATTTGTTCTCTCATTTTTTCTATGATGACGAAAGTGAACAGTATTGCGTTTTGAGGTATTAATTTTTACCTTCTAGAGCTGACACCAGGCTGCGAACAACGTTCACGTAGAGTTGGAGGTTGTTTAGAGCTAACTGTGGGCATCTTGATTGCGACAAAATCACTGTGTCATCTGCATATTTTAGTGTTTTAGACCCCAATGGATTAGGTAAGTCATTTATAAAAATATTAAAAAGCTTTGGTGCGATAACTGAGCCTTGCTAAGGAAAGTCTTGTTAGCAGGCAGCATTCAAAAAGCTGATAAGCAAAATGTTAGACTAAGTACGTAAAAATCAAAATTATGGTAGCTTTAAATTTAAAATAAAAAAAGTAATTAGTTCAAGCACTCAAGCATTCAAAATGTTTGATAACGATGATAAAAGTATTTTTTTATTGTTTAGCGTATAATTTTGTAACTTTCATTTTCTTCATATAAATGCTGTCTTACGTTTTAATTATGCCTACTTTAAAAAAAATAGAGAACACGAGAGATGCAAAACACTTATAAGTTTTGTTTTTATTTTTATATAGGAAAGTATATCCTTCTAGTGCCGATTCGAAAATTCGAAAAACCGGTTCTTGCAAACATTATTTGGATTGTGGATTCTTTACTTCTTCAATTATTTTCACTCTTCATTCAAAACAGACTTTTTTTTTTTGTTTCGAAAGTAGAATTTTCGAAACCGAAATGGCTTTAAGGTAAAAAAGCGGTTATCTTAAAATTAAAGAAGAAAACATTGAGCGTTTCTAGGTTCATAAGGACGTTTGTCTAATAACCCATAACACCCAAGAAACAGGAGCGTATAGTAATAATAATAATAATGTCACGGTCTAATAATGAAATTATATATGAATGATCAAGTAGTCTAGTAATGATACCTATAATAATGAAATAATATATGTAGAGTGCAATTTCTCCCTTCGGAATATGGAAGACAGTAGCCACGCTACTTCACCTAACGTTTGGCTTGTTTATGGCTGTCAAGCATTGTAATTTGTTATTATATCATTAAAACCTACATTTTTGAAACCCTCGATTAATTTTAAACTCCGGTAATTTTTAAGTTTCTAATCTACTTGGCTACAAGACAGAGAAACACGAAAACTGCTTAGCGAACAAATCCATTAGAAAATGCTATTTAATGTTACCAGGCATTTCAGAACTTTAAGATTTGTTTGTGGTTTTAGCCTTTTTATACGTGTGCTCTAAATCTGTTATCATAAAGCCTTATAATTAATTTGGAGTAGTGGAAAGCGTTAAACTATCCGTGTTCAAAACGTTTCTGTGTGCTTCCAAGTGTTGGCGAGCCAGTCGCGTGTGCTTTAAAGGTCTTTTCTCATCATACTTTCCAGTATTACTGGAATGACAGATCTTATCGTATAATCTAGTTGACCATCTCGGGTTTTGCCCATCGACACTCAGTAGCCTGGTTCTCGACAACACAACACGTAAAACTACACGGTGAGTCAGAAATATAACTACACATTTAATCTCAACTCCTAAAGACGTATTACGTTTAGAAGAAATGGAAAATAAAGGATAATACCTCTGGAAAGTAAGTCTTTAACCTCTTAAGGACCAGCGTGCGGAGAACGAAGCGCAGCCACGGGACCGAACCTCTCGAAATGGACCGTCGCCACCGGCCCACGCATTTTCAACAGTTAAGCCTACTTTTACAAAAAATTCATATAAAATCAGTATTTTGATATAATGACCTCAATTTTTGAAGTTACGTAATATGCTAGTTCTTAATATATATTAATATAAAAATATCACATTAATGGAAATAAATGAAACACGCGAAATACTAAAATTATAACTATACGCATGAAAAAAAATACTATACACATGAAAACAAAATTACAAATACGAAGTGTAAAAGAAAATTAAGCAATAATTATCTGTAAGTAATTAAAATTCCAATTTAATAATTTTGCTATGTGTGGAATAATTCAAAACGAGGATCGACACATAGGACAATGACGGCTGCCTTTTTCGCCGAGCATATGCCGAGCAAGTATGCATCATGCATCGGGAAGTAGATGCCTTTCCCCTTTTGTAATAGTGCTGTAAAGTTCTTTTTAATTAACCAAGAAGGTCTATGTTAAGTTTTAAAATAAATATAAAAAAGGACAACTGGTCTCAGTTTTTCCATCACGGAAGTTCGGCGACGTTACACCCGCTATAGTGAGCTAGATGCGTTGTCCCACATCGTCCTAATTAAAAAAAAATAGATGAAAACCTTAAACTGGATACACTTCCCCAGATTCTAATAACGAAAAACGCAAAGAATAAAAACGAAGAAAAATTCCTAAAGAAATAAACAAACACGCTGGTATCCTTTAAATTAAACACCTGTAACTCTCAGTGGTTTACAACAAAAAAAATCTATCAAAACCAGAAGCACAGAACAGAAATTGATGCTCATACATGAAGGTCAAACGACACGACTTAAGCAATGTGAAAACCGTTACCATTTAGCACCGTCTACTGGCATTTAAAAATTCAAAATAATCGTTCCGTTTTCAAGTTACGTATACACGACGCTGGGCTCAAGAGATTGATCAGAGCTCTTCGCGTATACGCGACGCTGGGTTGATAAAAGTGGAATCAAGACACAATAACACGCCGAATAAGTACTAATTCAGAAGTCAAACAACAAAAATCAGCGTTAATTTTAAAAATTTTAACAGGACTGGTTTTCGATGGTTTTACCGAACCACCATCCTCAGCTGCAAAACCGCAATTTGAAAAGTGGAATCGTTGCTTCGCACCTTTGCCACGTTGGTCTTGAACGGGTCTTTAAATTAAAGTACAAATTTATAACAATATCAACTAGGCCCACTTTTATCCCAATTACTCACCCTTTCGGACTCTTCCAGTATTTACCGTTGTGCTACATTAATACTTTTAAAAGATTTTCATTTTTGATTGTTTTCCATTGTTGGCAGCTGTTTCATCCACTTTCCGCGCCATCGACAACAACAAATGATGCATTAAAATCAGGTCTATCCGATATTAAAGGCGCATGATTACTCTGAGCAACAGTAAAATTTTAGAGATCATTCTGGCTAATGATCAGGTGTAGTATGGACAATTAAAAGGCAGATATGCGTGTCGCAACGTAACCGCTTTCTTATAAGTTCACGCTCTGTCTTGGCTAATGATATAGCCTCAAGTTCATAATAACATGGCATTTTGTATTTGAAATGACAAACTGAAGTTTCATACTCAACAAAATACTCATCATTTTCTTTTGCAATGTATAGTAGCACACTACATCTCACCAATCCTGTAATTATTAAAAACGAATTACTAAACATTTCATCGAGGTATGTTTCTCATACTGTTATTAGAATTAGGATTTAAAAAAAAAAGTAATGGAAATCATTCAATATATTATACAGTAAACTCTCGCTACAACGATACCCGATACAACAATAACTCCCTCTACTACAATAATGTTTTGTGTTCCCGGTGATTTTGCATATAAACTAATGTTAATGTCCCCTCATATTGCTATATTCTCTAGAACATAAACCTCTGTAAAAAGATTTTTTTCAATCTAAATTTCAGTATATTTTTTCCCCTTTATAATAATATTTGATTTTCAAATTCTTTTTTTTTTCGTTTCTTTTGTTATTTTTTCCGTATTAAGACTCTTGTGGATATTCAACTATCCTGAAGAAATAGCTATGTTCAATTTCAAAACAGATGAAGACACCCTTTTGGAAATGGAGTGGGTGAGGTGGGTGAAGTTAATGTATGCCTAGTCTCATTTCCCAGTAAGCTTTGGATTCTGATAAGGTTTAAGGACATCTAGACGTCTAACCTGTTGGTCACTGTCAAGAACAAGTGCCCTTTGTTAGAGGAACAGGGGGATGGAGGCGGGGTGTTGTTAAGTGACGTACTGAAAAGTGAGTTCAAAGGTTGTTTTATAGTCTTTAACGATTTGAGTTCTACGCGAAACATTTGGTTTAAACTTTTCTTTTTCTTCACGCGATATTGTTCCTAAGATGGCAGGGCGAAAGCAAACTATCCTTTCGAGATAAACTGAACGTTATCAATGATATTGAGAGGGAATGAAGCAGATGATGCGCTAAGAAACATGGATTATCGCAATCTACAGTTGCACGTTCCTAAAGAGAGAAAGCAAATCGAAGATGCTGTACTTCAAATGAAATTAACCCAGAGCGAAACGACTGAAAGTTGCGACAAATGAAAACATTGATGCTGCTGTTTTAAAATGGTTTCAAGAGATGAGAGCAACAATGTCCATAAATGGACCTTTATTATGTGCAAAAGCACAGAAATTTGCAGCAATGCTAGGGAACGAAACTTTCAAAGCTAGCAATGGTTGGGTAATGCGTTTTCGAGATCGTCATGGAATAACTTTCCAAGAAGTTCACGGAGAGAAAAAGTCAGCCCCGATAAACGACGCAAATGAATGGCGGCAAAACAAGATGAAAGAAATCTTAGAAAAGTATGCTTCAGAAGACATTTATAATGCAGACGAAGCTGGGCTGTTTTTCCAACTCCTACCCGATCGAACATTGGCATTCAAGGGTGAAAAGTGTTATGGAGGGAAGAAATCAAAGCAGAGACTGACTGTTCTTCTGTGTACAAATAGCACAGGAACGCAAGATACAACCTCTCGTCCTTGGTAAATCATTGAAGCCAAGGTGCTTAAGAACGTGAAAAGTCTTCCCGTGGAGTATAAAGCAAATAAGAAGGCTTGGATGACGTCTAAAGTTTTTTCCGAATGGTTACAGAAGTTAGACAATGAAATGAAGAAGAGAAAAAAAAATCGTTTTGTTGATAGATAACTGCAGTGCTCTCACACGTCATTTCCAAGCTACAAAAATATCGAAATCGCTTTTTTACCTGCCAATGCACTTCAATTTTACAGCCTCTTGATATGGGCATAATTAAGTGGCTTCAAAGGATATTACAGAAAACAGTTGTTGGACCCATACTTAACTTTGAAATAAAGTAGAAGACCCTTTCAAAGCTGTAAATGTCAGGAAGCGTTGTGTGACAATATTGCTGGAAGTTGGGGGAAAAAACAGAAAAAACCATTCGGAATTGCTGGAAAAAGGCGGTCTTTGTGTTATGAAAGATAAGAAATCTGATAATGATGAAAATTCCATAGACAATGATCTGTCAGATGATCAAGAATGTGTTTTGCACATCAAAAATCCGTATCCCAACTTGAGGAAACAGCGGTAAAAAGTTTGGAATTAGTATAGAAGACTATTTAACAGCATGATGATCTTATGGTTTTCGCAGGAGTTACTGATGAAGATATTCTCTCTGAAATTACTGATGAGATAGGAAAAAATTATGAAGATGATGATGATATTGATAATACAGGTCCATCGCAGTCCTTATTGTCATCTCAGGAAGCTCTTCAATCTGTGAATTCTCTAAAATCTGTGAATCTGTGAATTTTTTTCAAGCCTTCCGTCGACAAATGAAGAACATTTTCGTGCACTAGACTCAATGCATACAGTATTGGTGAACTTAACAGTTAAAAAATCAATAAACAAACAAAAATATGGATTATTTTCAATAAAAAGTGTTTAAGGTATGTGAATATTTCTGTGCTATTTTCTGATTTATCTTATTTATTTATTTTTTAGTTTTAAACCACTATTATTAGTGTTTTAACAAATTAATTTCTTCTAATATAGACCTTAAAAGTAGTATGTTATGCACCTTAAACTAATAATAATAATAATAAACAATCTTATAAATGCTCAAAATATGTGGGCCCTCGATATAACAATATGCCTCTCTACAACAATATATTTATTTGGTCCCTGAAATATTGTTGTAACGAGGTTTCACTGTATATGCATAGGCATCCAATAGCACAGTGGAAAAAATCGCTGAGCACTGATAGTTAGACCTGTCTTCATATCTTGGCACGGACTGGTATATGGGGTTTCGTGTTTTTCTTATGTGCAACCTAATCATGCCACTTTATTCTAAAAAGTCCGTCATGAAGGCATCCTTATTCAGATTAATGCGTCAGAAAATCCACTACTACCATCACTCACGTGTTTGGCTTTAATCAATTTTCAACCAACTGATCAGTCTCGTTTTGTGTATATGATGTGTTAGTTAACATGTTCCTGAAATCACATAAAACAAATCCCAATAAGGAAACTGTATTCTGTCGTTTAGCTTAATAGCTATAATTTAAAGTATCTTATTTTATTTATTTCAATTTTTTTCTGTTTTTAACTACTAATTCCTAATTAATGTAAAATGCATCTTAGGATTTATATGTATATCTGTAATATGTATGCATGTATATGTCATACTGTGGCAGTCAGGCACAGGAATAATGAAGCTTGGGATCAGAATCCGGGCATTGTTGTGGCAAGCAAGGTATCTAATGACGAGAGAGAAGAAGTTAGCTGTTTTGATTCCACATCTTTATTTAATTCAAATGGCAAATCATTGTTCTTTTGGATTCTCGAAGATTACATATGCGATAGTAATTTAAACTAAATAGGATTAACTTTAAATCTACTGCGTCATATTGTTCACAAAAAAAGAAGACAGATGGGAAGAGCGGCAGCAAAGGTCTTATAGCAGCAGAAGGAGAAAGCGGTCTGATGAAAAATGGCGCGAACTCTGCATTTATAGTAGCGGTTATATAGCATGCCAGAATGTTCTCGAAAGTACTGCTCTAGTGGGGAAGATCCTGAAATTACCTGTCACCTGTTAGAGTAAATAGGAAAAATTATTACAGAAAATTTCAATATTTCGTTAAAAAACTGTATTAATTTCCGGAGGAAGAGAGGAGATTTGTCGACAGTATTAGATAAAATATGGCTTCTTTCTAATCATTTCGTAAACTTCAAAAAAGTTAGAAAAGGATCATTATATTATAGAGGCATCAAGTTCATTTCGGAGTAGGATACATGAGAATAAAAAATGACTTCTGTGGAATTCAAACTTCGGATCTTCCAGCTGCCAACCTGGCGTGCTTCCTGTTACACCGTGAGGAGGGGCAATTTCCTTACAGTATTCACAAATTGCTGCTCAATTTTATTTCTTCACAAACTGATTACCTTTCATTAAATTTTAAGTGCACCTTTTGGTTGGAAACTCAATACGTAGAACTCTCGAGTAGCCTGCCATGTTCAACGTAATAAATAATTAACAAGCAAACTAAATACAAGATTATTACTTTGACCTGCAGTAAATGAGGCAATGTTCTAAAACATTTTATAACCTTGCCTTAAAAATTCATTTTAATAATTTATTTTTATTTTTCAATTTTCAGTCTTCTTATTGTTCTAAGATTTAATCAGAAGCAAGATGGAATTTCTTGGAGAAAATCACGAGCTGAAAGCGGAAGCAGAAAGCATTTTAAAGAAATTTGAAGATCAGATAGAAAATCTTAAGAAGTCAGATACAGAATCTTTTAGAAAAAAGTTTGAAGAAGCACCAGGTAATCCAGAATTCTATTATAAACCTTCATATGACGTTTTGCAAGGCATTTTTTAAAAATAATGTGGACAGCTGTCATTGGTAATGACTGTTTAACGACTTGTATTGAGGTTACAGGAATGATTTAACTGCAAAATGTTTTAAGTAAAATTTTGTGAAAACAATAATTTTTTAGAAATAATAGTTTTGATATTAAAAGTAAGAATGGGAATTGCATAAAACAAAATATTATGAAAAGTAAAAACTGGGTATTTGAAGGAATAAAGACATCTTGAGCACAAATGAAGACATCTTAAGTAAAAAATAAAAATGCATGCAGGGATTCTCTTAATTGTTTAATTTTGATCCGAAGTTATTATTTACATTTTCTATTCAAAAATTATTTACAAATTTATATGTATAGAAATTTTATTATAATTTATGTTGGTGGAGTTTTGCATTAATATTGTGTATTTGTTTCATAAAAAAGTGGTTTTTAAAATTTGCTTAAAAATGAGAAGAGTTTTGAATGATCCTACGAAACAATTATATCAGAATATCTTCGCTTGATCACAAATACAACATCAGTCCTAACTTGCTTGACTATTTATGTAGTTTACATTGATCATCAACACAAAACTAACTAGGATGTGTTTAAAAATGAAATAGATTAAAATCGTTTTAAATGAAGCTGTTTTAATAAAACGCACGAAAACGTAAAAGTAATTCGCTTTACTTTCTCAAAATATTCCTGATTGTATGTGACTCAATTTAAAATCATGGAACTGCTTAGTTAGGATTTTAATTTAAATTTTTAGAGAAAAATTTAATCAAATTGAATGTATTTAATAGTATATATGCAATTTCTATGCTATCATTTCTGTTATTCTTTGAGAATTCATCAATGCCTTAATATCACTAGTATTTAGTAGAACTACGATTTTATTTTTAGTTACGTTTGAGGAAGTATATTATAACAACTAAAAATTGACTTTTATGTTTTAGCCTATTTGATTAAAACTTTGCCATTTGAATAGGTTTTTCATATATTTTATGCATATTTCTTTCCGAAAATCTCTGTATATATTACGGTTTATTTGAGGGTATAAAAATCAAAATTCTTCAATAATCAATTTGACTGTTAAACAGAGAAATGTTAGAAAAACTTAACCCTAAATTTAAAACTAAAGCCTGAATTTAAATTTAAAAAAATTCTGTGGCAAATTGTACCGTCATTACAATTTTTTTAATCGTTGGTCACTTTATTTAAAAGTCACCACACGGCCGGAAGTGGTGGCCATTTCATTATGGAAGCACCTGTTAGGTGGCCACCGTTGCCTCCTATGAAGGGACGGAGTAGTTCATCTCCAAGTGCTTATACTGAAGGATCAAAAATTGAAGAAAACATTGGTTCCGCAGTCTATTTTCAAATTACCCCTTCAAATATCATCAAATGAAAAGACCATCTCCATAATAATTATAGTGTTTTCTAAGCGGAATTTGCAGCTATAAAAGCAGCGACTGAAATAGCCATTCTAAAAAATCTCAACGAATTTAGCATAAAATCCCACTCATAAGCAGCTATTTTGGTGATTAAAAATCCCTTACCTTCATCTCCATTGATTTCCAACATAATTTCTCTTCTTGGCAAGATTCCAATTTACAAAATTCCAATTTCATTCAAAGTTCAAATAGTGGCCATTTTTTGGTAATGATTAGGCAGATAAATTAGCCAAAGAATCATCTATTAATCAGGATGGTAATGAAATCATCATCCCATGGCGTCGATCCAATTTCAAGTACCAACTAAAACAACTTGCTTCAAAATCTTGGCAAGATTTATGGAACAATGCTCCACAGGGAAGACGCACATATAATTTGATTCCCAATGTAAGCTTCGCATCTCTGTACTCGAATCCTTCATCAAATTACTATGTAACAGGACACGGACCCTTTCCCACATATTTCTGCGCGAGAAATATGGCGAACTCTGATATCTGCATATGTGGGGAACAGGGAACACCTGATCATTACACTTTCTCTTGCTTTTTAACTGAAGATATTCCCATAAAATCCCCATGAACTGATCTCCTGGCATTACAAAGCTTCATAATTAAAGATAAATATCAGTATCCGAGGTTTAAAAAAAATTATGCAACGACTCTCTTCCTACGGCCTAGATCTCTATCAAGTGTAAGTCCGTATACTGCATAAATTAAGTAAACATTTATATGCTGCGATTATGGACAAAATGACTCCACTCGTGAACTTCATAAACTGCAATAAACCTTTGTGTCTAAAATAACTCGTGGATACCCACATCTTTAGCATTATTATTACAGTTCATTATAACATTGTGTTGCCAGTACTAATTATCTCATTATGTTTATTATGTTTATCTGTTTAGTTATCTCATTATGTTTATCTGTTTAATAATTATGTTTATCTCTTATTTTTGTTGCTCTGACTATATTGTAATCTCCTTATGTCTTACATCATTATTTTCAATAAATACTGGATGCGGAGCGTACGGTGGGATTGCACGATGTACCATAAATAGACAAACTCTAGACCATCTGGAAAGCCTCAGTTGCCCAATTTCTCAATCCTTCTATGTAAATTCTTACATAAAACTTGCAATTTTGTCCTTTTTTTTTCCTTTTCTCTCTTTTTTTTAATAGTTAATGTAGGAAGGCATTACCAGTTGAGCCATCGTACATTGCTGGTGTCCCCCATAACCTGTACCTGTATCTATGAAAAGATGGACACTTACAACCATGCCTTCTCCGGGATTCGAGCCCTGTCTTATGGCTAAGCAGTCAGGGTCACTAATCACTATCCTGGCTGGGCGGTCTGTTATAAATATATATGCGAAAAATCTCTTTAAAATCGTGTTAATAACTTGGGTGGGTGAAACTTAATTTCGAGATTTTACCCAAGCAAATAAAGAAATTAAATTAAACTAAATGTGCATGCAAACATACTTTTCTCTGAACATGAGTGTAAAATTAACTTTAGACGATTTAATTAATCTTTAAGTAAAATTAGTAACAAACCTCTCAGAGCTGATATACTTTAGTTCAGTACAACATTTCGAATTTATGTAATTCATTTCATTAATTGTGTTCGAAGTGGGGTTCTTATGCTAGAATCTTTATTGTCCATTAACGAATCCATTGAATTCAGCTGCTGACTAAGTTTGCTGCTGGAGTTTAAGCTTGACTGTTTTCTGACTACCTGCTTTTTTCCCAAATTCGTCTAACTTATTTTGACTTAAAGAATGAGTTCAGAAATGCGGCAAAAACTATTACGCTTCGAAGTTTTGAAATTTTTATTTCGATAAAGTTCGAAATATAAATTAAAACTGTAATTATTATTTTAAGAACAAATAAAGCACATTTTAAAAGGTAACCAATACAAATTTTGTCGTTTTTAAGCTAATATTCATTTCCTTTATTTTCTCTGATAAAGTTCTTTCGTTATCTTAATTAGAAAAGAAATATTTACAGTCTTTTTTTATATTATATTTTATATTATTGAATTATTATATTATATTTTATATTATTTGAATTATTTCATATTTTATATTATTTGAAGAAAATAAGCTTATGTGCTAAGGATAAATAAATTAGTACTTGTGCACTTTAGCTCATATTAATTATCACTTTTACATTTTTCATTTTTCAGTTATTTAAAAAATATTTGGTACTTTTATTGTGCCATAAATTTTTAAATATAAAAAATAAATCTTATTCGTTGAGTAAAATAAAATTTAGACCTCTTTTTTATTTATCATTTATGCTGTAAAATTATTTGGATTAATTAGGACCAAAATCTATCCAAATAACTGGATTTCTTATTTATTTATTTTCAGAAAGGATTCCCTAGAGATGTGCTCATAAAATATCGAGTTTATAATTAAACAAAATACGAAATATTGTGATAATTGAGACACAGAATTAAACTAAATATACAAATATCATAAACTACTGGTAACACATTTTTCATAGAGGTTTTTTGTCTTTGTGTTTACTTTGTATGCTCATTTAAGTTTCAGATAAAATCCTGCTATTATTTTAAGTGCTTAAAAATTTAGTGAAAACTTCATAGGTTATAAAAACATTCTCTTGTAATTCAATATTTAAACAAAATTTGAATGGAATTTAAAATTGTGTTCATAGCGAAATAGCGTTTTGACTTATTTCGCTCATTTTTAGGAGATAAATAGAGAAGATTACACGGGGGATTTTTATTATTATTTACAAGTAAAAGAGCATTAATAAATAAGTTCAACTAATTCCACATTATTAGATTCCTATTAGTTTCTCTAATCTCTTGGATATTTTAGGTGAGAATAATAATAAGGGAAAAAATTAAAGAAAGATATTTTACTTATTATTAAAGTTTTTAATTAGAGTAAAATTTCAAACTTATTTAGTGAAAAACAAAATTTAAAAAATTTCTTCGTAAAAATTAACCAATTTTTGTTCAAAAGGTACGTATGAAATTTAGTAAATCAATTAAATTATTAAATCTCTAGTATATCGAGATTCATTTTCTCAATATAATTTGGTAAAATTAAAAGGCTTTAAATTTTTCAAGAATCATTTAAAAATCAAAGCCAGAGTAAAGAGGAAGAATTATTTGGCAAAATAACACAAATAAACACTTAGCATGCAGTGCTAAATTATCTACAGAAAATTAAGAGTGTAGCAGTCGATTCTTAGATTAGAATCCGAAAGTTTAATATACAGGGTGGTTATAAAATAACTTTCTGTATTTGATGGCATTCAAAGCTAAAACTAATGAACAGAATGAAACCAAATTTCATATACAGACTGTGGAAGGCATGGAGGAATAAATTCTTAAAATAAGTGAATAAGTAAAACTATCAAAAGTTTCCGATAGAGATTTTGGCAATGCTATCACGTGCGCACTAGGAAATAGGCACAATTCAGGTACTAATTCAGAAGTCAAACAACAAAAATCAGCGTTATACCCACAAAAATTTTTCACAGGACT